CTTATGTTCATTGCTGCAATATATACAATAGCCAAGAATGGAGTCAATGGATGAACAGATCAAGAGATTCCACATAATGGAATACTGTTAGGCTTTTAAAAAGACAAACTTTGTGAACATTATTTTAAGTGAACCAAGTCAGACATAGAAAGAATAATACTGCATGATCCCATTTACATGTAAATCTAGAAGAAATTGAATTCACACAAGTGGAAAGTACCATAGTGGTGAACGGAAACTGTGGGAAGTGGTGGTTGGTGATGTGTTGATGAACTGACATGTAGATACAGTGCCAGAGATCAAACCCAGGGCCTCGCATAGGCGAGGCAAGTGCTCTGCTTTTGAGCTGCTCCCTCTGCCGAGGCTGTGGTATTTCATTATGCAGTCCTAGCAAACCAGCGCAGATTCTTAGTGAATGTTCATCAGCCTCAGCTTTGGCAGCCAGGAGTGGGCATTACTGAGTGTGCCTAGTCTAGGAGCTGGCATATCAGAGATGCGCTCAGTCCAATAACCCTAAGTCCAATACAAGCAGAACCCACTGGCATGGCTATTGTGTACTCAGCATGTTACTAATCCAAATTCAGATATCAAATCTAATCCAGATCTTTGAAAATTCAGTATGAAAAGAACACAAGATAAATGTTGAAGTCAGTTATATATTGTGGCGAGACTATTTCAGTTATTTAGGGTTAAATAAAATGTCATCAAGCTAATCCCACCTATTTTTTAACGTGGTTACTAGAAATTTTCAAATTTAACGTGTGCTTTGCATTATATTTCTGTTGGATAGGATTTTATTAGATGTTTTAAAAAAATCTTTTCAGTCAGTGGTGAGATTCTTAACTGTTATTTTCTTCATGTCAAGGACTTAGAGATGGGTGAACTCTAAAATTCTTTCCTGACAGCAGTGAAAAAAAAAAAAGAAAGAAAAAGAAAAAAGAAAAGAGACTAAACATATACATTAAAGGTATGGCACATCAGAAGAGCAAAACTTCCCAGAATTGTATTTTTTCAAAAAAAAAAATCTATGCAGTAACGATTACCAACAAAACTACAAGTGAAGAAGGCAGTTTTCAAAGAAGAGAAAGGCAGACACAGAAACTGAGAATGCTTTGTAGTGATCACATTAGCCCTGCATTGTAACTTGATGGACCAGTCAGGTTCTTTTGCTGCAGATTAACAGAAAATGCCTTGGTTACTCTCAGCAGAAAATGGACGATTTAGAAAAAAATCAGAAAGAGGTATAGAATTGATATAGAGGCTTCAGCACCTGTATTATAAAATTTGCTTGAGCCAAAGGGCCATGAGACAGGCAGGTCACCTCGCCTTGGCATTCACATGAGAATGGCCCTGCTGACTCCACTCTGCCTGGCTCTTGAAGCTACCTCTGATGGAGTCTCTCTGCCCCTACCCGTTCTGGACCTTTTCATGGCTCCAGTGCGATTTTTCAACTGCTGGTACATCTGGTCAACTCCAAGGTCTAAGCTGTAGGTTCAAGGAATCGTCAGAGCCTGCACTGCTGAGGGCAGGAAGAGGGAGGACCTGCCTCCTTCATTCATCTCATGGAGGGGAACATTGAACATGGGTTTGGATGATTACATTCCCCATGGCCCCAGAGATGAAACCAAAATAAAGGCAAAACAAAATGCACCCAATGCCATGCCGTCTAATAAAACAAAAAGTCAGCCCAATACCAATAATCATTTTTTCCTGGATCACCTTAGATATGAAAAATAAACTCAAAAGTTATACTGCTAAATTTATATGTCATTTGTATAACACATAGTATCATTCTTCTAAGTTTTATATGAACATTAACCTGACTGAATTACATGTTAATACATTGCCACCATCACTTCTATTTTATAGATGGGCAAACTGAAATCCAGACAAGTTCAATAACTCAGCCATAATCACTCACTAGTAGGTAATAGAAATATTTAAAGTCAAGTACTCTGAAGCTTCAATATTATAACCACTACACTTTGTTATAGTGGTTTTTATTTGTATGTACTCTTTAGAAAATGTTCAGTGAGTAACATGTAATTTATTGAATGAGATAGATTCTGTTCCCTGAACAATTTTCATTGTCTTTGTTAACAAAAACCTTTCACATATTTTAGAGAGGATGTCACTGAATGGGATGATGTCATTAACAGTTGCAATCAAGCAACTTATGTCCACAGTTGAAAAACAAGATCAAAACAGATGTTACAGGATAGATTATGCAAGGAAACTAGTTAATGTCCTTTATGCTCTAGGCGACTCCTACAAGGAATGCCTCCAACTCTTTCTTAAAATAATCCATCCATGTTACCTTCTTATGTGAACATATGTAATATTTTAAATTTCTACTCAAGTAATATACACAGAATATATACTCAGTTTTAGATCCTGTGCTTAAGATTTACAAATAGAAAGAAGACTTGGCCTCTTCCTTTGAATTTCTGAATCCTACTTCAGATTTCTAGTAGCAAAGCCATTTCTTCAAGTGAGACAACAGATGATCAGACTTTCTCTATATTTTCCTTAAAAGGCAAGATCACTCACTTTTCTCAAAAGATCTTCTAATTTTAAGTACTTTTTTTGGCTTTAGAAAATGGAGAAATTTATGGTAACTGAAGTATAGTTGTGAACTCAGAAAAAATTCTGATCTAAAAGGAAAATTGTCATTATTTTTAAAGCTTATTTGAAATATGAAAACTGGGACACTACTCTTAGTACCTGATCATGGTAGCCCCGAAACCACAAAATGCAGGGGAAACCAAGCACACGATCACTTTTCTGATAACGATTTCCTTTTATCTCACATATTGAGCAACTTTTACTCACTGTCTTTTTTTTTATTATAAACTTTCTTGCTTAATGATCTCCTGAGTGTAGATTAGAAATCAGAAACAAAAAATATTTTTTAAAGAAGCAATTACTTTGGCAAATGAAGTAATAAGAACTGGTGGTACTTGGTGGTGGGGAGGCTACTCCTTCTGTTAAAGATTTTGTTTCCTCTTCTCTGCATTGCACAAATATCTGTAGCCTATCTTCCATTTGCAAGGTACAATGATGTACTGCCACAGGATATGAGATAGGCTGGGCACTGGTTTTAGCTTCCTAATTTTATGTGCATGATGTTTTCCCCTGTCAATCACCATTAGCATGTTGGCCTTATGTGCTAAAGCATGTCACAGATACTAAATTTTAGGGTTAGTGGGAAGTATCACATTCACTTGATTATCATCTATGGATTAGAACCAGGGTTGCTCCAGCTTATGCTTAAAACTTTGTGTTAAAATGGATCAGAGTGAGTTCCATGAAGTTAAATCTATAGAAGTGGAGAATTAGTGACTTGTATCATTGAATGGTTGCAGCAGTGGCAAACAGAAAGTTCAGATACGTGCCATACTAGGAAAATAAGAAACTGGAAAAAAAAATGGCCCATATAGAGGGGACTTTGTGACTTATCCAAATCAGAACACTTTTGAGAGTGAAGGAGCACTGTTAATCATGTTGGAACTACAGATACAAACCAGGACTGCCTTTGGTAAGTCTAATAGAACCTGAGTAATTTAAAAAGAGAGAAAGAACACACATAACTGTTGTCAAGTAAAATCCTAGGGAGTGCAGGAGGCCTGATGAGGTTTACGGGACTGTCCAGATAGAGATTTGATCATCTGATACAACCGGACCTGAAACTTAAGTAAATGTTCATGGTTAAGGGACAAAACAATCATGTTCCAAATCCAGCTGTGCACGTGAATCCCCATGAGCTTTAAAGCCATTGTGTTTCTCCTTGCCATTCGACATTCCAGAGTCTCGGGACTTGTGTTAGTACTAGCTTCTGCTAAGGGGGATTTTTGGATAAGAAAACTTCTTCTGTAATCCTTCAGAGTCTCTTATTTTGCATCACTAACAGGGGAATCAGAAATCTCAGGTTGATCCCAGACATGGCAGAAATTGCAGAGCAATTCACAATTTCCCTGTTTAGTGTTATCGGCTTGGAATCATTTCAACTGTCTCAAAATATGGTTTACAAGGCTGTAAGGGATTCTATCTTCTTAGTGTCCTGGCTGGGTCCGAAACAAGTTAATTCACGTTTATACGGCACAGAAGCCCTCATAAGGAAATGAAGACCCAAAAATCTGGTTACAGTCAATCACTTGTACACTGAATTGGACAAAAGACCAGTTAAATTGTGAAATGTAAGACAAAAGGGTAATATGAAAAGAAGTATATTTAATTGGATAGAAAAGTGTATAGGGCTAGTTTACCAAGATTTGATTGCAGAGATTCCCCGGGGCTTTTACTTTCCCTCCTTGCTAAGAATGTTATTTGATGCCGAGGACATCTTTCCTACGAAAGTTTCACCTTGCTTTTAAGAAACAAAATAAAGATCAGAATGATCTTGCACCTGCTATTTTTAAAACATGCTCTCATTTCAAAATAGTATGCCAGGCCTATATATTCTTAACTCCTTTAAGGCTTTTAAATGCCTTGGCTATACATGGTAGTTAATAGAATGAACATTTTCAGCTCTCACTTGCTGAGGAAGTAGTGCATTCAACTAAGGTTTACTGAGTACCTATTACCTTATTTAATCGTTATGTTCTCCCATGCGTAGGAAACTAAGTGACACAACCAGGGTGACAGCTGAATTTGGGCTTGGTTAAGGAGCTAAAAGCCTGGTCCTCTTTCTTGATCTGCTACAGACTGGTATGTGGTAGACGCATCCTCATATGTTGGGACAAGTCCATGGTAAGACCAGTCATTGCAGCCACTTCCCTTTAGCTAACATGTTCCATCACGTGAGGTTAGAAGAGAAACGGAGAAGCGAGTACTCCTGAAGGAAACCGGATCCCTGACACAAGTGCCAGGGAGAAAGCTTGTTCCGCCTACTATCTACACTACAGCAGCTGCCAGAGCAGCCTGCTGCCCGCACTTAAAATGGCGGTATAGGCGTCAGCACCCTCCTTCCCTTCTCTATCATGGCGGCGGAGAACACGCCTCCCTCGGCGCTGGAGTCATGTGACTTACACAATGGTTGAGAGTTCACCTGAGACGTCCAGGCAACTCGGAGTGGAAGTCAGGACTATGACGGCCGCCGCTGGTTCGGCGGGCCGCATCTTAGTGCCCCTGCTGCTGTGCGCCCTACTGGCGTCCAGCGGCGCCTACGTGCTCGACGACTCCGACGGGCTGGGCCGGGAGTTCGACGGCATCGGCGCGGTCAGCGGCGGCGGGGTGAGCGGTGGGGATGCGCTGGAAACTTAGGCGCCGCCGCGTCCCGTCCCGTCCCATCACGTCCGGTGCAGCCCTCCCCAAGCCCCAGCGGCATTGCCCATTATTTCAATGCCCTCGGGCCGTTAGCCATCGGCAGGGCACCGGCGATGGGGATTTAAACTGAATCTGGAGAGTGATTTGGGTTTGACTGATGAGGATCCAAGACTGCGTGACAGGTGTAGGTCGAGGCCAGGGCTCCAGCTCGGGGAGAGTCGCTCCTTAGAGGCCGAGGAGCCGGAAGCCTTTGTGGTGATGTTTTAGGATTCTTTCCTGCTGGGGTCAAGCTTGTCCTGCTTGTGGGGCGGGATGCTTGAAAGAGTGACCCCCACCCCCACCCCGGGGGGTCTCGTGATTCACCGAGGGAATTCCCCAGTGTGAGGAGGTGGGGAATGTTGGCCCTTCACTTTTAGGGTGCAAACAAACTTTTAGGGTGTGCTTCACGTGTAGATTCTGTCTTCCCAGTTGTAATTTTGTATTTGTGGAGCTAGCTGAGAATCTACGTTTTTAACAAACACACTGCTACTGACTTCTCATCCTGGGTATTGAGAGATATTTTTTCCCTTTTGAAGACCTCAGTAGAAGATTTTTTTTTTTTTACTTAAATTGAGAGTGGTTTATTTATAGAAGGGTTATGAAGACAATGCTGTGTTAGTCTAACCCATCGCCAGTTTCTCTTACTATTAGCATTCCATGTTAGAATGGTTGTATTTGTCACAATGCAATATTGGTACATTATTTTAAACTAAAGTTCATACTTTCAGATTTCCTGTTCCTGGATTCCAACTAGAATAGCTCAGCACATTTAGTTGGCATACCTTCTTTGAAAGGATACAGGAGGCTAATTGTAGCTTTGTATGCTGTTGTGAATGGCCGCAGCAGGACATTTTTAGTTCCCTGGACATGCCAGTCGGTGGCTTCCACGAGTGAGAGCTTTCCTCAGTGGCATGGTCTTTCTTGGCTCCTAACAGTATTTGCCCTATTCCACATGCCTAACCCTCGTCTTTGTTTTGCCTCTCTTTGTTTGTAACTGTTGGGTCAGTGGGGTTTGTGTTGCCAGGCCTTTTGATAAAGGTTTTTTTTTTTTTTTTTTTTTTTTTTGCCTGTGTCCGAGATCACATCTAGAGGTAATTTTGTTTGAAAATAGTAAGGATGAACTCTTAAACTTCTGATTTTGTTAGGTTGAGTCAGATAGAACCTGTGTCTTTAAATTCAACACAGAACAATCTTGAATGTTTGCTTGCACCTGGGTGATTCAGCCTGTAGCCTGTTTGTGGCCGTGACCTTTCATCTGGGGGAAAAAAAACCTTTTCCTTTAATCTGCCTTATTGATATTTACACTTTTGTTTTCTAATTCAAAATGTTATCTACAAGTTCTGATATGTATTTCAGGGGGAACCTGAGGGCTAATGACCCACATTGGTGGACATCTATTTTTTTTACTATTATCAGTCTCCTTTTTGTTATTTTTGGGTATTAACCTGAAATAGCCAGTATTTCATAACATGAGGCCCTGATCTCTCCTTCTATTACCTTTACAAGTGTTATTAAATGTTGTACATAAACTTCCTGAAAATGGAAATCTTTGTTTATTTGGCTTAATTTAAAATTATAATGAAAAGAATAGTTTCATAACCTAAAATTGGAAGCTCCTAATCTGATAAGATACCCAACAATGATTAGTGTGCCTAAGCATAATGCATTATTCCTTTTAGAAGCTTAATGAATAACAAATGAAAATGATTTCAGCGCTATAATTAGCATTTTTTTGAACCCTTTATACCCAGCACAGTTTGTGGCAGTAAGCATTTAGAATGGGCTCATGTAATTTTCATGTCATAGGACAGGGCATTTTGGTAGTAGTTAAGAATGTGGGCTCAGAAAGATTGGTCCATTCTGAGTCCTGACCCTGAGGATAGATGTGAAGTACTTGGGATGATGTTTGGCAGATGGCTAATTTTGGTTAATGTTAAATTTTAGGGACTAGGGAAGGGAAGGTTATTTCAAGGCCTTTGAAAAGAGAAATGTCTGTAAGACTTCTTTCTGGTCTTGTAAAGTTTCAGGCCTTCTATTTATTCACTAATACTTTTGGGTTCGATTGTGATTATCAATTTGGAATAGCGTAATAACATGATAATAATCTAAGGCTAGAACTTTCTGTGTTCAAAAGTGTAAAGACAACGAAATAACTCCCCAAATGGCAAAATGCATAATTCTAATGGCATAATGTATGCAAAAGACTTGCTTACTAGGATCAAGGATATGTTAGTGGGCCTATAAACTGTTCATTCATTTAAAGAATGCTAAGTTTGATACTTGAGTGTTTGCTAGGCAGTATGCTCTTTGAGAACAATATAATTTTTTCTAAAAAAGATGGTGTATACCAGTGGTGGCGGACCTGTGGCATGCATGTTGCTGTGTTTTTCTTTTAAGACAAAGATGTTAATATATGAGTTATTTTTTCTAAATGAAAACTTCAGTATTCAGGTTTAATCACAGTGTTGGCCCTTTTTTTGGGTTTCAGCTTGGCACTGGGTCTCTAAAAGTTTACCCATCACTGGTACATACAATGTCTGTGATTTATTGAGAACTTATTGTGTACCAGGAATTTTGCTAAATTTTTCTTTACAGATATTTTAGTCTTGCAACAGCTGAGTGAATAAAATAACTCACTTTACAGTATTTTGCTCCTGGCCACATACATGACCTGTAAAGGATAGAATGAGTTTGTAAGCTCCATTTGATTTGAAGCTAACGTGTTGTTTGTACCAATTCAGCAAGAACAAGATAGCATTATAGATACTGAGTAAATGTTCATTGCAACAGCAAATGAAAATGTAACTTGAGTAAGAAACAGAGCGTGTCCTCAAGGAATTCAGAGGTGAGACAGAAAAATAAAGCAGTGTTTAGGTGCAGGGTGAGAAGGGTTGTGGCTGAGCTATGGACCTGGTACCCAGGCTGGCTGAGATGGAGATGTGCTTAGGTGAGTAGGGCAAGGTGGAGGACATTCTTCCTTGGAGAGGTGGAGTTTGAGATGACAGCTAAGGGATGAATAGGAGTTGTCTAAATGAGAATGTAGGGCATATTCCAGGCAGAAGGAAATGAAATAGCAATTTGATAAGTCTGGACAGAAGATGTAGTTAGAGTGATTATTTTACTGAGAAGCCAGGTTTGGATGCAGTGAGAAACCATCCCCTCACTTCTTTGGTCCTTGGTTCTTTTTGCTCTTGATGAAAGAATTCAATCAAGACATACAGACCATGCAGAAGTATAGCAAACATTTATTATAAAGTAGATATAGAAAGAGCTACACCTTCAAGTGAGAATACAGGCACTGTCATGAAGGCATCTGCCCACAGTGAGAGGTTGGATACATTTGTAAGCACCCAAGAGTTACTCTTGGGGCACTGGGGCAGTATGATGCTTATAGCCATTTTACTTAGAAGTTACTTAGGAATTGCAAGATGCTTTTTTTTTTTTTTTTTTTTTTAATGGCCAGTATTTTATCAGAGGCTTTAATCATGTAAGGAGCTTATAAAAGATAAATTCTTCATTTAAACCAGGTCCTAGCCCAAGACAGGAGAATCCTTGAAAACATTTCCCAGAAGTCACTGGGCTGTAGGATGTGGGAGGAGGAATGCGGTATGTGGTATGTCTTGTTCTGCAGTTAGCCAGGTGTCAGAGGACTGATAAAGTATTTGACATCTTTGTCTCTTTAAGGACTAGCATCCCACTCCTTTTGTCCTTCAGGCCCACTAATGTCTAACTCCCTGCCTAACAATTAGAGGCAAAATGTCATAATTAGTATCTAAATAATTAAGGGATTTGTGTGAAAAACTGAGCAATATGAACCTTATCTGAAAGCTGTTGAGAAAGGGGATGTCTTTGGTTTAAATAGAGTAGTTTCATGGTTATAATTGTGCTTTAAGCAGCTTAATTTGGTAAGAGTAGAAGATTTGGAGAGTAGAAGATAGGGCAACAGGTAGGGAGCCCTGAGGCTATTTGTGCTGTTTTAGTAAGAGAGCAGGGCCTGGATTAAGTTGATAAGATTGGAAAGTTCTGAGATGGATTTGGGAAACATTAAGGATGCCTTGGTGACTGAAGATAGATGGAATCTTTGATGAAAGGGTCACCATAGGTTCCTGGTTTTGGCAGATGTTCTTTAATAGGATAGGAAATGTAGGACAAGGAGCCAGTTTAGGAAAAAGTGTTTGCTTCGGAGCCAATTTAGGTAGAAGTGTTCTGTTTGCTTTGAATGTACTGAGCTAGAGGAGATGGGTCTGTGTCTCAGTGCAGGGACTGGGAGGCTCTGGGAAAAAGAGTAGAGAGAGGTACCACCAGAAAGACAGTGTTTCCTCAGAGCCTTTAATCATGTAAGGAATTTATAAAGGATAAATTATTAATTTAAACCAGGTCCCAGCCCAAGGCAGGAGAGTCTTGGAAAACATTTCCCTCCCTGAAGTCACTGGGCTATGTATAGGGAGAGGAAGCCAGGGATGCAGTGTTCTGGAGTTCCCTAAGCACAGCCAGGCGTGGATCCTTGTTTGACCTTTCTTCATAATAACACAACTTGTAAAGGATGGGGGAACTAGTGCTCTTTTTAGTGTTGCTGCTTAAAATATTTTCCTGTAAGACACTAAGGTAAAAATTATCAGAGTTTCATCCACTCATCTTAGCCCTGGGATATTATTGACAAAGGATCTTGTAAGAACCAAAGTCTCACCTTCACTCTCTGGAGCGTGAACAGCTGAAAGGGTCTTCATGATGCTGAGTCCTATAGCTCAGCGAGGCCCCTGGAGCTTTGATGATCAGCAAGAGTCACCCAGGAAGGAACACACCAGGCTAGATGGTAAACAGACCTTTATTAGTCTGGCTAGACGGCATTCTCAGAACCAAGTAGCTGGCTCAGAGAGGCGCCAGCTCAGGGCCTGAGATCTTTTTTATAGGGGGGTAAAAAGGGGGGTTAATATTCTAAGCTTGCAGGCAGGGGACAAAGGTTAATGGTTTGCTGATAGGAGCTGGTGGTCAGCAGTCACGTACTCGGCAGTCACACATCGATGATTAACAGATACCTATAGGATGTTTCAAAGGCCACCAAGACATTCAGGATGACCAAACAGTTCGACAGTTGGGGTCTCTACGTATGGTACAGATTTTATCTCATAGTCTAGAATCACTAATTTACACATTAATCATGATCTGGACTTCAAACCGTACCAGATTGCCTTACATTCCTAAGCCAGGATTTGAACAAAGGTAGGGGCTTTGGGAGGGGGTTAGAGCACTGGCTCCTAGGCCCTTTTTACTTTGGTCTCACAATCTCAAGGTAGAAAAATTTAAATGTCACAATAAGTGTGTACTCATAATGTTCAACAGTAGCCTTAGCAATCCTAACTCACGCCCAACTCTTATCTCGGTGGAAGAGAATCTTTTTATAAAGGTTGGCAAAAAACAGCTCTAGTTGTGCAATGATTGACAAAGCAAAGGCAGGCAAACAACCTAGGAAATGACTGCACAGCTTCCTCTTGTCCAAGAACTGGCTAGGTAGGAGCATCCCAGGTATTTTTGCAGTAATTATAGATACATCTTCATTTTGGGATTTATTTCATTCATACTTTTGGAAAATTGTTTTTCAGGCCACCTCCCGACTTCTAGTAAATTACCCAGAGCCCTATCGTTCTGAAATACTGGATTTTCTCTTTAAGGTAATGAGAAAATTATTTCATTAAACAATGATATACAGTGATACTGTAGACACTACATAATGAACTTCAGTTTAGAATGTATCACTTCACAATTTTAGCTTTTGAAAAAAAAAGGCAAATTACTTTTGGAACAAGATGCTCTTTGAAGTTTTGTTTCTGTTTTCTCATCTGTAAAACCAAAGGCTGTTATTAGTGATTGTCTTGAGGTTTTATACCATGAAGCAGTGTTGATACTGTTACTTTTTCCACAGCCAAGCTGAAATGTAGTGTTAATGCTGTTAATTTTTTTCCCACAGCCAAACTTTGGTGCCTCTTTGCATATTCTAAAAGTTGAAATAGGTGGTGACGGACAAACAACAGGTAGGAGTATTTGGGGAAATAAGATTTTTTTTTTCCTTCAACAGTTTAATTTATATTTAAAGTTCGGGACTTTGATTTTAGCATATAAATAATATCAGCTCTTCTGAGGTGGATAGTTGCTAGTAGATTATTGCTTACTTTTTCTCTTCTGCCTGTAATTGTTTAAAACATTTACAGTATATAGAAATCTGAATTTTTCAAAAAAGTTTTCAGACTTTTGGTTGCTTATTTAGTTGAAGTAATCAGTGACTTAAAAATGCCACAGTTTTCTAAAAATTATTTACACTAGAGAGCATAGAGGTAGTTTGGAATTTTATAGAGAAATTAAAAGAATATTTTAATTTTTAAAGAACATATAAGGTGTTATTAACTTCAAAATATGTGGTAAAATATAACTAATGAATATTTTAGAGATATAGTTTTTTCATTGTATTAAAAACAAACTATTTGTATTGTATTTAAGTTTCAGTGTCTCACTAAATCTCTAAATTGCCTAGGCTGGGTTCAAACTTGCAATATTCTTGCCTCAAACTCCCAGAGTGCTGAGATTACAGACATGCACTGCTATGCCTGGCTTCAGAACTATGTTTTTACCACTAAATCTTCAATCTTCATGGTTATCAATTTGATCAGGTTTGTGTAGAACATGTCATCAGCTAGCAGTTTATAGGCCTCTACTTTCCAGGAAGCAGAGAAAATAATTCTTTCCATGATGAGAGTGAGCTAATTACTCAAAAGTTAGATTGTATTATAACTAACTCTAGACTAGAATATCTTCTCAATACGTGTCTTCCTGCTAGTGATCTGGAAATAACTTTTTAACAGATACATACCTGTGTGGTGGTATTGGCATTTACTTAATCTATGTAGAAAGAAAAAGAAAATAGAAAATCAAAAGCAAAAGAACATCTTGATAATAGAAACTTTTCCCAAGTTACGGCAAGAAGACATCTGTTTTATTGTCAAAGTTCTTTAGACAGAGTTGGTAATGACTGGCCAGCTTAATCTGTTTAAACTTGGTTAGGGGTAGAGATGCATAAGCAGAAAATTCTTGTGAATTCTGATGTTTACCTTTGAGAAGAAGTGGGCCAGGTCCTCCCCCTTGTAAGCCCCTACCTAGCAAGAACAGATGTTTTGAAGTGTGGGAACACATGAGGACTTTGCCATCAGTTGCCTGCCGCTGTGCTTGGTCAACTTTTACCTCAGCTATCAATGGGAGTTAGTATGGAATTTTGTTATTGTTATAGAGATGATTTGTATTTATTACTTTTTTTTTGAGACTTTTACATTAAGATATGCTGTAGGCTCATGAAGATGGAATTAAAGATCAGGTCTAAGGAATGGGGGGAGATGAGATTCACATTTGTAATTGAGAGGCTAGAAGTTGAGATAATGTGAGCCTGAGATTGGATGTGGGGAATCTGAAAAACCTCAGAAAGACCAAAAGGTCCATCAGGTTATAGTCCTAAGAATTTTCAGTTATGTGAGGTGTTAATGTTTCCCATAACATAGAAAGTTTTGGTTTTATTACTAGAGACCTTTATAGTGTTAGGATAATGAAAAACGATGAAATAATATGCTTTGATTATCTGTCTTCAAGTATATAAGGTTATTCTTATTTGCACAGTTTCAGATTGGAAATAAAATTATAGTTCGGACCAGGGATTTTAATTTTTTTTTAGAACATGTAAGGTGTTATTTAAGGGTGTGACCTGCCTCGAAAGCACAAGGTCCCAAGTTTGATCCCCAGTACAAAAAAAAAAAAAAAAAAAAAAAAAAAAAAAAAAAAAAAATTGAAATAGTACCTTGTGAAGTCTGTGTGTGTAAGAGGTGACAGAAATACCATTAATGGATTATTTTCTCCTTTTCCTCTCCTCCTTTCCTATTCAGATGGTACTGAACCTTCCCACATGCACTATGCACTAGATGAGAATTATTTTCGAGGGTACGAATGGTGGTTAATGAAGGAAGCTAAGAAGAGGAACCCTCATATTATACTTATGGGTGATGTATTATACTTATGGCTCTTGCAGCCTGTTTTTCTTTAACTTTCAAATTCTGAATCATGTTGGTGGTATTTCTGTTAATACTAAAATACTAAGAATGTTGTTAATATTACCAATATGTTAGCAGCAACAAAACATGTGGCAGGAATAATCTTTCTCTGCCTTTGTATTTGTGTCGGCTCATTATAATACACCTGGAGGAAGTTGTTACCTGTTTAGGTCACTGACCAAAGGACACAGATGGTAGGTTGCAAAATCAGTGTGACCTGACTGAGCTAAAGTGACTTCATGCTCGCTGGCTAATGGCCCCAGAGACTGTTACGTACCCCTCCCCTTATCAAACATCAGGGAAAACTGCTCAAACTGCAACAACCTTCTTGTGCTAGTTGCAAACTTGATTAACAAGTCTGCCCAGGAACAGATGGTATGTTAAAGGTGACCATAAAACACTACCCCTATAAGATAAGTGTAGGATGAGTAAATGTGTTTACAGCTGTGAGAAAGCCCTGACCTATGTTTGAACTTCTTTGTTTGAAAAAAACCTATAAAACCTATGCATAATCCTGTAACAGGGCTTCACTTCTCTTAGAGAATGGAGTCTGCACGTGTGTAATAAACTTCAGTTTTGTTTGTGTCCCTATACTTGGTGTTCTCTTGCTGGCTTGGTATAACAATCAGGTTTAAAACTAATTCCATTCTGCCTTTCCACTCTGGTGATTAAACTATGTAACTAGGTAAAATCTTGCATCGGAATTTGTATAAGAGCAATACTATTTACAAACCTGTAGGTTATATGTAGCAGTAGGCCTCCATTTTAGAAGAGTGACATATAAGAGCATTGTTTGTTTTTAAACCTCAGTGATGTACAAGTCATTGTTCCAGGGACTGGGATATCGAACAGTCCAGTCCTCAGTCCTTGTGCATATTGGGCTTCGATTCTAGTGGCAGGATCATTGGCTAATTACTCAAGTGGTACTGTCTTCATTTCACTGTTCTGTAGCAATGCCTACAGAGCCTGTGAAATATTTCAGACATCCAGAGTGATGGGATAGGTTCATCATATGAAATCAGTTTGGTGTTTTCAAACAGACTAAGTAAAATTAATGATCCATTTTGAGGACTTGATTTCAGTTTATTTAAAAAATAATTTCTTTAGCAATCAAAGGAAAAGAGTCATAATTTCTCAATTAAAAAAAACAACTATGAGGAGGGAACATATTCTTTCAAATAGACTTTTGTGAGAGACTCCAGAAATGTTTTACATAATGAAAGCATTATTGAATCGGGCACATGCTTCCTCGTGGGTTGTGTCCAAGTTCAAGCCTCATTTACATTCAGAAAATCTGGTATGCTAAACTTTTGTCCCAACAAAGACTTAACACATGGTAGGCCTTTGGACTGTATTTAGCATTTCATTGTTTTCAAATGTTCCTTTATTTTAATGTCATTTTTAAAATGTAATACACTTAGTTTAGCAAAATAGGCATGTTGTCATTTGATTTTGATTTTTTTTCCAGTGGTGAACTAGATTGGCAATATATTTAACAGACGTGGAACTATGTATTAGTGACAGAGATTTAGAACTGCAGTTAGTGGTTTTCTACTATTCAGATTTAAAAATTTTACTTATTAGGGTTATTGGAAGACTATGGACTTATGGGATATAATGAAGTTATGCTTCCTTGTTGAGCCATTGGCATTTATATTCATGCAAAGACAAGCTTAACTTTGCCAAATTGGATTGCCTGCCTATAAATATTTTAAGTGGCCTTAAATTGTAAGAACATATACTCACGAAATGAGAAATTTGTGACATACTTACCTCATAGGGATAGATTAGCATAAGACTTTCAGAACTCTAGATGTGACCTCAGAGAACAGAAATTTAATGTTGAACATGCCAGGGCCAGGGATTTATCTCAGTGGTTCCACTGTCTGCCTTGCAAGCGCAAGGTCCTGAGTTCCATCCCCAGTACCAAAATAAATAAGTAAATACTGAACATAGCAACAGAGAGTGGACAGGTTAAAATGTACACTTCTTTGCATTACTGAATATCTTTGAGTAAGGTGCTTATTGTGTTTTTTATTTTCTTTTGTTGAAAGAGCATTTAGAACTATAGGGTCTGACTCCATGTACCATTAAGAAATTATGGTGTCCAGAGTAGAGGAGATTTCAATAATTTGTGTGTGGTATATAATATTTTACTTGGTCAGATGTGTAGTGTCTGTTTATTTACCTGGGTGCTTTTTGGTTTGGTTTGTTTTCAATAGTGTGGCATAGTTTTACCTACTCCCCCTTTGCCCCTTCTCTCTCCAGGGTTGCCATGGTCATTCCCTGGATGGCTGGGAAAAGGTTTCAACTGGCCTTATGTAAATACTCACCTGACTGCCTACTATGTTGTGAGCTGGATTTTGGGAGCCAAGCATTACCATGAATTGGACATAGATTATATTGGAGTTAGTAATATATTTATTATATGAATAATTTTGGAAGTTGTAATTTTTAAAAGTAATTTAAGAAAGACTGTGCAACAGTGCTGACCGACCACTTTGTGTTGTGAAACTAATTTGTTCTCATAGTGGCTGATGAAAGCATAAATTAACTTCATTATGACTTTTTGTTACTGAACTTTACTCATCTCTATCTTCCCACTTTTGAAACTCCTGAGTGTATATCTTCTCCAAAGTATGTTTTAAATATTTTTCAAAGCCCGTTAACTCAAATTGTTCTGCTTCAAAGCTTTCCAGAGTTTCTCTGCTTCTTGCACACTACTGTGTTTCCTGTATAGTTTATGATTATTTTCACTTTGTTCTGTCAGCCTTCCATGATTGTCTTAAGGTAGGCATTTACAAACTTTTAAAAAAAGGGTTAGAGTGCATATATCTTGGGGTTCATAGGTCTAACGGCAGCATAAAACATGTTTTATGGTAATTATAGAACCATTTAGAATGTAAACTGAAATCCACTTTTAGATCGTAGGCTGTAAAAATACAGGTGGTGGCCCAAATTTGACAGGCTGAGTGAAATCTTCCTTCCCACATCCTAAATGGTTACACAACATCTTTTAGTAATTTCAAAAGTATAAAATGTGTATATTCAGAGCTAGTGTGTTGGCAGGCTGGAGCAATATACCCTGCAGGACCCTGTGCATATACACGGTGGGTCTCCATAAACATTACTAATATGCTGTCTGCCCAAACTGATAGTTTTAATGAAGTCATGACCTAGCTTATGAGCAAGCATGTACTTGAGCTCCTACTGTGTCGCAGAACTCTGATGTTCTAAGGATACCAAGATTTGTAAACTCTAGAGTTCAGTTTGAGAGTCAGACCCTGAAGCAGATAAACTGCCTATCACAGGCTGAGTAGGACATGAGCCTGAACCAAAGGCTGTAGCAAGGCAGAAGCATGAACTCCCTTGTTCTTGCTATCCTTTTACAAATTATAATTGAAAATTAATTTGTATTTGAGAGCTTTCTTTAATGTCAGGGCATTTTAAACCCACAGTGCAACTCAGTATAGGATTGGATCTAATAACTTTTTGTTATAGTGTAGTAATTAGTGTTTCTGGTAAGTAGTGAGAAATTTATATCGAATTTAGACTCTTGATAATCACATGATAAGGAACTTCTTTGATTAAAAATTGCTCCTTGGTTATAGACTTCTCTCCATTATTAACAGTCTCTTTTAACTGCAAAAACCAAAGTCATAGAATTTCTTTTTCAACTCCTGAAACTCCATGATAAACCTGAGATTTATGCGTGTTTCTTCTTATCCTTCATTAAAACTTTGCTTTTGTGTTCTAGTACATTGTGATCCTTTGTGTGCTTTAAAAAATTTCTTCTATACAGTTTCCTTATTAATGCTTTCAGTTATGATCATAGAGATCTTGTCAGAATGACAGAGAAATCCTTGTCTGTTTTCTAGTGCCTAATATAGTTCTGGCATGCATTGCTCTCTCAATATTTGTTCAATGAATGTGTATGCCATTGTTGTAAATCTCTGGAATAAATGGCTTTAAAAATATACTAACCAAGTATTTGGGGATTTTTAAAGATAACATTTTAATTTAAAAAATTTATGTTGTCTTATGAGTATCTGTACATTCTATGGGAGCATGTTCTGTGAAATAAGAAAAATGAAAAATATTATGAGATAAAAATGGCATGAGAAGTAGCATCTTAATAATGACATCTTTCTGATATTTGAAAACTTTCAATTTAGACTGTTTTATTTTTTGCTTTGCAGATTTGGAATGAAAGGTCATTTGATACCAGTTATATAAAGGTCTGTACAATTTAAGGTCTTAAAGATACTCATAAATAATTTCTATGGGTCCAGAAATTAGTGGGAAGTTTATAGTTGAAATACTATACTTTTGGCAGTACAGTTATATATTACACTAATTGTAGCATAAAATTAAAACCTCAGTAATGTTTATATTTCAGATGTTAAAGCATGATCAGCAAAGAAGTAGCATATGCATTTACAAATATTATTTTTGAGCCACTTTTCATATATGCTTATATCATTTTAATTTTTACAAACCCTCATATTTTAAATACTATTATTGCTGATTTTCAGGAGGCAAAAAGCTAAAAATAGTAGCTCCTATCACTGGAAAATAAATTTTGCTTTTCAGGTTGAGCTATTCACTCATTTACTTTTCAATTACTTTCCCCTAAGTAATACAATTTGAGTCCTTTCAGAAAGTTAACATGTTCACTGGATTGGTTGCACATTTTAACTAATCTGTAATTGCAGGAAAGAGAGGGCATAGATTTGAGAGGGTTCATCAAGGCCAGAACCACATAACTTAGTGGTACCTTTGAGGTGGTAAGGGCATGGTGGTGAGTGGTATGGACTGGGTGTGTACATGGAGCAATGAAGATGCTATCAAATTCAGGCACAGGACTGTGGGTGCAATGTTATGGCTGCTCCACATGCAGGGCTGATGAGAATATCAAGAACAAAAGTCAAGTTTGAAAGATAGTCTTGTGGGGTACATGAATCTGAGTTGGAGGTAGTTTTCTTTTAGGGCTTGAAATACTTCACTCTAACCTCCATGACCTGAGGTTTGTGTTCAGAAAGTCTACTGTGATTCTGGTGGGCTTTTCTTTATAGGTGATTTTTTTCTTTTCTCTTACAGCTTTTAATGCTCATGTGGTGAATTTTTGGAATATTGACCGTTATATCCCTTGGTGTAGATTCTTTTTAATCATGGCTAATTGGAGTTCTGTATTCCTCATTTATCTGTATGTCAGTTTTTTTCCGTTATTGAGAAGTTTTCTGCCATTATTTCTGTGAAGAGTTTTTTTTTATGTCATCTGTGCTATCTCCTGCTTTTTCACTGACTCTGATCAATCTTGTTATTCTTGTTTGCATCATCTAGCAAATGTTGGATTGATTTTTCATGATCCCTTGCTATTTTTAAGAAATCTTCCTCTTCATACTTGCTATCTACAATCCTGTCTTCTCTTTTGACATACTGTCCTCACATTGGCTCATTCTGCTGCATAGACTTTCATTGGAATTTTTAATCCGCTGGATATGTTTGCATTTGTTTCATAGATTCCATTTCTTTCTTGTGTTGGGCATTCATGGTTTCTGTTATCTTACTAAGCTCTATTGTTTTATTCATATCTTCTCTAGAGTCACTCACCACGTCTTCCATTATAGTCACCATCTCTGTAGTTGTCTGAGGGATTATTTATAGTTTGATTTTTTTTTCAAGCCTCATTCATCTGCTTTGTTCCTTCTGCTGTTACTACTTCAGAGAGTTCAGGTGGGTGGCTTTCAATTGATTCCACCTCATTGTCCCCTGTGTTTACCTTTGGTGAGTGGAAGTTTAGGGTTGCATTTTGCTTAAGTGTTGTGTCATTTTCTTTTTTTTTTTTTTTTTTTTTTTTTAAGTGTAATTCCTAGGTTGATGCTTTCTAAGTTGCTAATGGCAGGTAGCTTTATTGCTAGTATTTAGAACCCTTAGGAAATAGACATTATCTTCCAACTGTAGCTGGATTTTGGGTTTTAAGTCTATTGCAAAATCCTACTGGGGATGAGAAGTTGGAGCTTATTTGGCTCAGCCCCTGGTTCTTTGGCACTACCCTATAGTGTTGTTTATGATCCTTAGGCCATCTTGGTCTTGGCTTACCAGAACAACAGATTAGAAGAATTATGTCACCTTGGCTAAAGTAGTACAATTAGCACTAATAATAGAATCAAACATGGTCTAGAAACACTGTTGTAACTATTAATTTATCACCTTTAAAAAGTTCTGCATTGCAAAAGAAACCATCAACAGAACTAAGAGAAAAAATTTTTACCAGTTGCTCCTCAGACAAAGGATTATTATCTAGAATATATAAAGAACTCAAAACAATCAGTCCCCCAAGTATAAAGACCCAATTCGAAAATGGGCATCTGAAATGAACAGACATTTCTCAGACAAAGAAGTAAAAACAGCAAGTAAATATATGAAAAAATGTTCCACATCACTAGTCATTCAAGAGATGCAGATGAAAACAACACTGAGATTCCACCTCACCCCACAAAGAATAGCTGCTATCAAGAAATCACACAATAACAAATGTTGGCAGGGTTGTGGGGAGAAAGGAACCCTTCTCCATTGTTGGTGGGAGTGCAGACTGGTGCAACCACTATGGAAATCAATATGGAGATACCTCAAAGAGCTGGGATTAGAGGTTCCATTTGACCCAGCCATCCCTCTGCTGGGTATCTTTCCAAAAGAATTAAAAGAATCATATCACAATGATATATGTACACCTATGTTTATAGCAGCACAGTTTGTAATAGCCAAAACTTGGAAACAGCCCATTTGCCCATCAGTTGGAAAATGGATAAAGAAGATGTGGTTTTTCTATAAAATGGAATACTACTCAGCCATAAAGAATGAGAAGTTAGAGTCATTCATAGGAAAATGGATACATATTGAGGATATACTCCTAAGTGAAATATATAAGTCACACATGTATAAATACCAAATAGTTTCTCTGGTGTGAAAAACTATAATAGTACATAAGATCCTAATGAGATAAGTGACAATGTGAAATAGGAAGAAAAGGGCTAAAGGTGTAGGGAAAGTGGGAAGGGGTAGGGGAAAGGTAATAAGGGAAAAGAAAAAAATTAGAAAAAAAATGGATATAAAATGTTTGTAAATGGGGAGGGAAGAAGGGGGTGAAGGGAGGGCAGGGACAAGGGGAAAAAATGAAAACCAAGACCTGTCATGTAAAGGCACAAGATCCTAATAATGAATGTAACTGTACTGTATACCTAAAATGTACCAATAAACTCAATTAAAAAAATTTATCACCTTTAACCATTTGAACTGTATTTGTGCTTGTATAACAAAATCTAAAATAAACCAGAAAATTGTATACAGTAAATATGCCCTCAAGACGGGTTCTTTTACCATGGGGGAAAATTTTTAAAGGATTTAGGGAGAAAAATGGAGACATAGAAGAAGAGGAAGAAATTAGAAGCAAGGCTGGAGGACAAAGGAAGATTAAGTAAATTTTGGGAAACTAGTGAAGAGAAGAGGAAAAGAGAAGGAAGAAATAAAGACAAAAACAGAATGGAACAACAACAATAAAAAACCTAGAAACAGTGTTCACACTAGTAGAAACAAGAACAATCAGAAAAATCCCAAAACAAATAAAAAACAAAATAAAAATGGAAAAAATGTGCAGTTCAGGGCATGTTTCTGCTGTCACTGGTAGAGAGAACGGGCAGACAGAGCCCAGATCTGTGTCGATTAATCCCAGCCAAGTCAGCCATAGATTTACAGTGGGTTAGTGGATAATACCAGCAAGGCTGCACCTTTGGTAGCAGTGAAGTTCAGGCTGGTTTTTGGTTGTGAGGCTAGACCCTGATTTGTTTAGCCTGCATCACTCCATTTGCCTCCTGCCAGTTTGAACTTGGAACCCTGACAACTTGAACTCAGCTTCCTGACCTTTCAATTTGAACTTTGTTCTGCCTTACCCTGACACTGGAGCCACTAGATGGAGCCAGCCCACAGCTGCTCTGAATTTCAAACTGAGTTGGCCTCTATCCAAGACGGCTATCGGCTATCGCCTTCTCCTGGCAGGTGTCTGAACCTGAATAACTCACCAGCCACTGTAGTCCTCTGCATCCACGGCTCTGTTCTACTGGTGTGTGTGTTTGTGGATTCCTGTGGGCCTTCCAGTAGTTACCATGCCTCTGGAGGTTCAAGATGCCCCATGCAATGAGTTTGGACCCAAGGAGAAGGCATCATTTGTCATCTTCTGTGTTGAAGTCTCTCTCTTCTCTTGTTGGGTCCTGGGGACCCACTTCTCTCTTTGTCACATTGCTGTATTCCAGTGTCTGGACACCAAATCTCAGTGAGGCTGTTTCTTTGCTGTTCACCACTCCACCATCTTCCCAGAAGTTGATTTCCTAATAAAGAGATAGAGATTCTCATTCCTATTGAATCTTGAGAGTTCATCTATATCTACTATTAAAATCTATTTCTGATGTTTCCAGCATACTCTTGGACTAAATTGATTTTGCTTGAAAGATGACTATGGATTCCTACTTATTCTCATCACATTTTCTAAAATATACATCAGTTTTAAGAAACCATCCATTGTAAAATGTAACATGGATTTAGTTAAAGCTTTTATTTGCCTCCTAAAAGAGCATATCAGTTGAAAATTTCTGTAGTTCAGAAAATTTAGAATGTGTAGTTTTGCTTAATTCATTCAACTCCTGTTATTGAGCATCTGACGCCATATTCCAGACAATCTAAAGTACTTGGGCCTTTTGAGGCAAGGACCTTATTTATATCCATTATCAAGTATTACTTCTGCTGTGAAATCTGATTCTTTTGATCCTGAGTAAAATGATGTCCTTTTCTCTGCCTTAGTTTTACATATAGATAATCTTTATATTTTGATATGTACTGTACCTACTTTCTGATTTTCTATTTGCCCCTGTTAGTTTAAGTGTCCTGTTGACAGTATTTGCCATTTAAGGGTGAGGACTCCCTCTTATGCTTCTTTTTGAGTCCTGCTGGGCTCCTGGGTAGTACTAAGTACCAGTGAAGGTGATCAATGTTCGCTTTATCAATTTATTTTCTGTTAGAACTTAGCTTCTTTCTTTTAATTTTTGCAGAAAACAGTTTTATAGATAGATTGGATTTCCTCTTTTTTTTTTGAGTAGGAGGAATTTATAGAGAGAAAGATAGCTTCTGCCTAAGAGAGACAGACAGAAGAGGGGACCAGAAAGTGGGTTGCCCCTGATTTCCTATCTTTTTTATAAATGCCAAAGACTGGATAGTAAGAATGGAATATTTCTAATTTCTATCCATAGTTTGGTACAAAATATTAAGAACTACAGTATTTCCAATAATGACAGAATACTTAAAGACATTGAGAATTATGTAAAGTAAAATGATAAGTTGAAATATTTTAGCAAATGTTGTATATAATATGACCCCAGTTTTATTGCTGTGACTGCAGAGAAAAACTGTAAGAAAGCACACCAAAATAACAGTTGCTATCTTAGTGGTACTATTTGATTATTTTTAACTTAACATTTCTCTCCTCTTCTTCCTTAACTTCTATGGTTAAATATAATTTTAAAGTAAGAGGGAAAATCCCTCTAACAACCCCTGTGAGACAAGTTTCTATTGGGAAAATATTGAAAACATCATTTAGAATACTGATTTTGAAGATGCGTTAGCTTTTTTAATCACAATTCAGTAGCTAAGTGCTCCTTTGTAACTTTTCCTGTGTTCTGTGTATCTGTCAAAAGGTATTGAGGGAGATGCTGGACTCTCAAGGTCTCCAGCGAGTGAAAATCATAGCAAGTGATAATCTGTGGGAGCCTATTTCATCATCGATGCTACGCGACCCTCAACTCTCGAAGGTGATTGATGTTATTGGGTAAGGCATGCTTTAAAACTAGCAGTTTTCTGGTTGCTCTCGTGTTGACCGTGTTTTGTTTTTGTCTGTTGCTCATTTGGTAAGGTATTTACTAAACGAAAGCGTTTATAGCTCACAATTCATTGCTTTCTCTTTGAAATGTTATTATGTATTTGAGGATCTTTTTATGAAAACGAAACTTTTAAAAAATGTGTTTATGTTTGGAGTGATAAAATAAGACTTTCTTTATATTAACGGCAGAGTAATACTTAACTTTAGAAATTATAAAGGCAGTTTTGCGAAATTAGTTCCTAAGTTGGTTTGATATGTCCACTGACTGACTTTTGTCATGTATCCCTAGGGTGGCATAGATTTGACCCTGTTCTTTATTCCATTTTTTCTTTCAGCTCTCTGGGCCTTGAGCTCACTGGACTCAGCAATATTTTTAAAAGTGAATTTGTATTTTACCCATTCTGTCTAAGTTTATAAACCTTTGAAAAACAATACCTATATGCATGGTATTTGGTCTTTTCCCACGTGAAGACTCGTTTTCTCTCTGAATGTTTTTTTTTTAATGAAAAATTTTGAAAGTATCAGAAAAATAGGTAGACTAATACAGTGAATACCAACCTGAAAAATCTAAGATCTCTTGGCCAGTTCTCCATCTGCACATCTGTCCAATTTTCTCCCTTTTCCTCCCTCCCCTCATTAATTTGAAACAATTTTCAAATATTATTTCTCCATAAAAATTTACCACATTTTAGTGAAAGATAATTCAATTTAATGAAAGATAACAGTTTCTTTTGCCATCAACAGTACCTTTATTATACCTAAAAATGTAATAGGTTATTGACATCTTCAGATATCTACAATTATTATTTTATAATTTTATTAGTTGAATCTAGAGCCAGTTAGGGTTTGTATGTTGGTTGATATTTAAGTAAATTCTTGTCTTTTAAGTTGTTGCTCTTTTTTCCCCTTTTATTTGTTGAAGAAACTTGATTGTTGTAAAATTTCTCACAGTTTAAAATTTTACCAATTTCATCCTTGCAGTTTAATTTAACATGTTCCATCTATCCTGTCCTTACTGGAAATTGGTAGAGAAACGATTAGATTAGATATGGGCTTATTTTTTCTTTTTTGGCAAGAGAAATAACATGTTTTTGCATTTATATTTAAAGATTTTAAACATTAAAATTGAAATGCATTGCTTTTATCATTACAACTTTTATAAATAGCACGTCTTGAAGGAAAACAAGGATGTGTTATCTTCACTATGATTTGTTAACTATTATCATTAGAAAATATCATTTAATGCTTCATGCTTTGTTTCATTTAATGCTTCTTGGACTGCATACTGTTTTGTATTTGATTGAGAGACTCCTACTTCTTTTCATTTATATTGCCTTTCACTCTCTTTGAAGGACATTTTGTGTCAGGTGCTTTGCTTGCATAGAATTAGATTTTCTTTTTAAAGCTGCTCTGAAAAATCTTTGTATTTTAATGAATGAATTAAACTTATTTCTGTTTTTTGATAAAATGTTTATGTTCTCTGTTACCCTGATGTCTTTTGCTATTGCATGGTGTATGTATTTATTAATGCAAAATGTTTTGCTGTGTGATTTGTTTTCTGTGTTCTAGTTTAAGGACATTTGGTAGTGTCTGGAGATATTTTTAATTTTCACAATTAGATAGGGAGGTACTGTTTGCATCTTATAGCTAGAGGCTAGGAATGCCTCTAAACATTCCTCTGATACACAGGATAGTTTCCTTTTCTTAATTTTTTACAAAATTATCCAGCCCAGAATGTCAGTAGTGGTGAAGTTGGGAAACTTTTAAATTAATAGTCTGTTTCTTCTTTTTTTTAGATATTGTCTGGTGGTTTATGAAAGCAGTTTATTTGATAACTACAGATTCAGTTTATTTGATAACTACTTCCTGGCTTTCTTTCTCCTACTATGGAATCTTAATTTGCATAATTATCTTAGTGTTAACCTTTATGCTCTTCTGTGAGTATAAGCTTCTACTGTCTTGATTTGTCAGTTATAAATTAGAAGCTTTTACTTTTAGACAGTCTGGTTGACAGACTTACTTGACATTTTACCCCCTTCCTTTCTATTGTTTCAGCTGTATTAGTTGTACATTAGTCAGACATGTACTATGCATATGCTATTTAATTATTCTTTCTTTTACAGTAGCTCTACTATTAAATATACTTAGTTTTCATTTTAAGAATCTTTTGCTGAAGTTCTCTCTTAATTTCTTGGGTTATAAGCTTAATATCTACTAGGTTTCTGAGAAAGTTATCATAGAAACAGTCTTTTTTTGTTTTTTAATGTTCATTAGTACTGCTTTTCTGTATCCTTTATCCTTGAAGGATAGTTTGGCTAGATATAATCCTTAATCAATATCATAAATTTACTCCATTGGTTACTTACATTAAATTTGAATCCAGGCTAAGTTTCTTTTCTTGATAGGTAATGTGACATAATTCCCATTATGTCTAAAGAGCATTTTTATTTATCTATTAAATCTGATAGTTTATACCATTTACTAAGCCTAGATAATACTATATGCCCTATCAATTATTCTGCCCCATTATTTTGATTTTCTTTTTAGGATTTCCAGTAGATCTCCTTTCCATATGCCTTTATTTTGTATTTCTCATAGTTTGCAAAAATCTCTGTATTTGTTTGATTTTCTGTAATTTTACCCTTAATATTCTGTATTTCCCTTACTGTGTTTTACTTAGTGTCTATTTTGTGTTCTTTCTATTAAAACTTTTTAATCCTGGGGCTGGGGATTTAGCTCAGTGGTTCTACTGCCTGCTTTGTAAGCACAAGGTGCTGAGTTTGATCCCTGGTACCACCCTCAAAATAAAAATAAATTTTTTAGTCTTGTAATATGTTTTCTCTTTTTAAAAATAAGTTTTGTTTTAGTTTCTCATTTCCCTGTTTAAAAAATTTCACTTCCTTAAAAAGTTTTTAATCAAGTACAGCATACATACATACATACATACATATATACACACCCAAATCAAATGAGTGAATTACCACAAAATAAACACACTGATTGAACCAGCGCCTAGAAAATTATTAGTTCACAGGAAACTTTCCCTTGGAAACCCTTCTATTCACTTTTGCCCCAATGGTAACTACTATGACTTCTAACACCATAGACTAATTTTGCTTGTTTAAAAACGTTATTAAAATGGCATCTTATGGTATCTGTTATTTTAGCCAACATTATATTTGTAAGATTAACTCCTGTTGTCAGATAGATGTAGGTCTTGTTAATTGGTTAGCACTCAGTTATAGGAAGATACCAGTTTATCAGTCTATTCTTTAATAACAACATCGGCCTAAAAGTCAAGTTTAGGTATGGTTTTTATAAATTAAAAAAAAGAAAGGTGAACTGATTGTTATAATTGTGTTTTTATAAATTAAAAAGAAAAGAAGGCAAACTGGTTGTTAGAGTTGTATTGGATGACAAGAACAGCATGGGACTTTAATTATTGGTAACAAGAAGTTATAGTCACATATTAATATGTTGTGTGAGAGTTGTGATATAAAGGAAAGGTTTTTGTTGAGATTGTTTATTATGTTTTCTGGCAGCAGACAGGCTGCAGAAACCACCCTGCTGGGTCAGAATGACCTAGGTGATTGTAGACTCTTGTCATGTGTTTTCCCTGATAAGGAATCTTGTGACCTCATTCAGTTTTTTTTTTTTGTGTGTGTGTGTGTGTGTGTGCATGCGCGCATGTGCATGTGCATGTGTCATGATTTGAGTTGCTTCCAGTTCTTGTCATTGTGGTGCATTGGACTTTTACTCAGGAGATACTTAAGGCCTTGTGGCTCCCACCTCCATCGAGAAACATACCTCCCTGCCTGCCCAATTCATCATGTGCGTGCTTAAATGGGACAGTGTCATAGGTTCTTTTGTGCATACTTTCTGGGATCTGTTTATGCTGTTGTTATTCCTATTGTTGAGTATTCACTCCTTCACTCTAAATGTTGCTCCCTCGTTCAATATGGATTCTATTTTGAACAGCTCTTCTCCATGGTCAGCCTCTACCATTCCTGAAAGTAGAGCCTTAGCTTGTATTGACCAGTACAGTAGACAGTGGCCACAGGTGTCTGCCTACAGGAGCTCTGGAAATGTGGTCTTATAAGATACACACTGGATCTTAAAGATTTGATATTTAAAAAGTAAAATGTTAAAATTGTTTTATATTGATTATACATTGGATGATAATTTTGGATATATTAAACAAAATATACTACTAAAGTTAATTTCCCTACTTCCTTTACATTTCAAGTTATTTATTTAGTTATTTTACTGTTGTAAAATATTTTGCTTTTTCCTGCTTACCTTTACCCTGTTTTCTAGGGCTCATTATCCCGGCACCCGTGTATCACAGCGTGCAAAGCTGACTGAGAAGAAACTTTGGTCTTCTGAAGATTTTAGCACTTTAAATAGTGACGATGGTGCAGGCTGTTGGGGGCGCATATTAAATCAGAATTATGTCAATGGCAATATGACTTCGTAAGTTACTAAAAACCATTGAGTTTTTATAAATTTCTAAAATTTTTAGTTTTAACAAGTTTTTAGAATTACAATTAAAAAAGTACAGTAGATTTCTGTATACTCACAACCTAGATTCAATAATTCTAAACATTTTTATCTTTTTTGCTTCAATTATCCCTTTATCTAAACCTACTTTACATCAAATCTATACTTGTTTCTGTAATACTTATATATTAAGTAATGTTGGGTTTTGTTTACATATACTTTATATGGTAAAATACATGCAGTTACCTGAATCTTGAAACACTATATGTATTTTGTTTAACAGTTATAAATAAATTACTTTATATGTCATGGCGCTGCCCTCTAAACATTTTATTGTGTGTCCTCAAAGCAAAAGGATGTTCTCCTACATGATTATAATGTCATGTTCATATATATGAGCTTTTAAAAATACTCTCACATCTAGTCTGTATTTAGATTTTCATAACTGTCCTTCAAAATGTCATTTATAGCACCTCCTTTTAAAAAAAGAAATATATAGTCAAACACAAGCACTGCATTTAGAAGTTATGGCCCTTGGGCTCTGGAAAAGTTTTCAATTAGCAATAATTGTGCCTTTGATAAACTTCATTGGCTGCGATACTGCCACTGTGCAAAACGTGGGCTGGAAATGTATCTCAGTAGCAGAGTACTTGCCTAGGATGTGTGAGGCACACTGGGTTTAACCCCCGGTACCAGGGGAAAAATTTATGGCTGTCAAGTCATTTTTTAATGTATAGTAGTTCCCTTCTTCACCACTTTGTGTGTGTGTGTGTGTGTGTGTGTGTGTGTGTGTGTGTGTGTGTGTGTGATAGCGACCTTTCAGAAAGACTAGACCAGTTGTCTTATGGACTAACCACTTTCATTTTGTCTGTCTGACTTCTTTCTTATGGTAGCTATTAATTTGTTGAACTGTTTATAAAACATGTTCTTAAGGTAGAAAATAACTTGTTATTTCTGAGAGATGACTCTCTTAAATGCTTTGACAACACATTAATTATGGTTAGATTCAAATTAACCTTCTAAAGCAATGATGGAGTTCCGAAAACAAACCACTATATATACTTTTGTGATATTAAAGCATATTGACCTATACGTTGTGAAATTTCCTTTTCTTTTTGAAAGAAAAGATGCTTATCATGTCCTTTTTTAAAATTAAGATGATGTGTATTTATAGTGGAGAATTTAGAAACTCTTCAGACAGAAATCCAAAAAAATGAAATAAAATCACTTATAGTCTTACCATCCAGAAGTAACTGACTCTAAAATTGATACTTTTTTCATTTACACGAATATATTTTTAGTAAAAAATTAGACCATACTGTATAATCTGTTAGGTAAGCTTAACATGGCATTATGAAATTTTCCTCATATAGAAGTATATTTCTATTTCATAATTTTTCCTGCATATGTATATTCTGTAAATAAAGCAGTATTTTTCAAATTTGCTTTGCCTTAAAGAAGCACTTGAGTTGCTTGTGATGCTGATTCCTAGGCAGTTGCCTGTACTGAACCAACCATAGGGAAGGCATCTGGGATTTTGTTTGTTTAATCAGTGCTGCAGATGATTCTGATGCTGCCAAAGTTTGGGAAACAGCAATGTAGAAAATACATCTCTGAATATTTTCCTTTTGCTACAAGTGAAAGTTGTTTCTAGTTAATAGCTTAATACAAACTGAAAGCATCAGTTGTGTACAACTGTTTTTGTATACATTTACAGTTATTTCTTAGAGTGTATTCTTACAAATGAAATGTTTGGAATATTTATTTGGAAGGTTTTTATACATGTTATAGAAAATGCTTGCCAGAAAGCTTTTCTCCATTTATACTTCTTCCACTAGCTAGAGAGGATACCAGACATCTTGCAAACTGAACAAAATCATGAGAACTTGTAGATTTGCTGATATATATTTTTTAAATACAGACTATTGTATCTACTTTGTGTTGAGAGAATTAGAAGCCTTTGATTTGCTAAGAATACCTGTCTGATTTTTTTTCGATAGATAAGGACTGATCAGAAAATGAAATTCCATGAATAAGCTGTTTATTTTTTAAGCTGTGAGCCACCCAGATAGGGGAACTTGCTGTCTGTGCTTGGATTTTCTGAGAACGATAGAGTCAGAATCTTAGGGTTCAGTATCTGCTGTGGACTGTTAGGGCCAAAAAAGAGACCACCAGCTGATGCAATTAGTAGTTGTAACTGAAATAAAATTATAGAATACATAGTCTCATATTCTTCGTACATAGTAGTACATTTAATCCTCCAACAGCCTGGTGAGCTAGGTAGGTACAATTAATGTCCTCATTTTATAGATGAGGAAACTGAGGTCCAGAGAGGTCAAGTGGTGGAACCATGATTTGAATCCACACAGTCTACTCTTAAGAGTTTTCAGTTGTAAAACTTTGCAACAGTTCAAAGTCAAGTTCCTAAAATTATGTCATGAGACTGGGGCATTAATAAGCCTGACTTGTCAAAAGGAAAGCAGGTATGGATTCAGCTTTTATTTGATCAAATTTGTGATATGTCTGGTACGAATAGGGTGTGATTCCTCTTCTGGCTATAGGACCTTACATTAAAAAATACATATGTAGTTTTTTCATTATGTGAGTCAGCATAAAAATGTTCAGATGTATACAATGCTGGTTTTTGTGTCTTTTTTTTTTTTAGTTTTACATTGTGAGTGATCTTAAGGCAACTTTTGTTTTCTCACTTTTGAACTGTCATTTTGTGGTCATTTACATATCTAATTATGATATAGACTTTTTACTCTAGGCTGGTAGGCATTTGCATTTTCATCACAAATTGTTTTGGTGTTTCTTTTTATCAAACAAATCTTTCAGCACGATTGCTTGGAATTTGGTGGCTAGTTATTATGAAGAGTTGCCTTTTGGGCGGTGTGGATTGATGACAGCCCAGGAGCCATGGAGTGGGCATTATGTCGTGGAATCTCCTATCTGGGTATCAGGTACAGTCCAGATTCCATCTTCCCTTAATTCCTAAGAGACAAGACAGAAAACCTGTAGAAGAGATTGTGCAAAATCTGTGTGTGTGTGTGTCCATATTTTAAGTGAGATTTGCCCATGCTTTAGAAGAATATTTTGTGTAACTAGACTGTTCTTTGTGTTTCATACTTGATTATTCTAAGACCACACCCTTAGAAAATACAAGGAAAGGAGGAGGGACATGGAGTGTCAAGTGATGGAGATAGAAATAATCACCTAGGTTTGCAGTCACAGATTAGGATAATTGCTAACAAAATGGTGTAATCTGTAAAGATTCATTGCAACTCCTAACTCAGAGTATCTAAAATTTGTCTTGGAGGCACTTTATTTTTTAACACCAGCACGATTTATTGATTAGAAGAATGAGCTAACAAAATTAAGGCTCATGAATGACAACCATTAAATGATTAACAAATATAGTTATTGAATCATTATATAATAAAGTAATTATAAGTATGATGTGAAATTTCATGGCTTTAGATTATTGCTTTAATCTACTAGTATGTGTTATTATAGGCTAATTTTCAGAAAATAATGAAATCATGACTCATATGGATAAAAATTAGCACATGCTGAAGATTCTGTTACTCATGTGATATAAAAGAACCAGGCAGATGTTAGAACTAATTCAAAGAAAAATTTAGCACAGCACAAATTTGAGGGATTAAAGAAATTTGAGATGAATTATAAATGGAGACAAGCTGAGTTTCTTATAAGGAGGAGGAAGTCAACTGAATGTTGGTTAGACAAGACATAATTTACACAGCTCAAAGACAAGTTTGTAAATACATTCATTTTCATTTAAACAGAATATTTTCAGCAGCATCTTATATTAGTCACAAGGGAAGTTGAGATCATACAATTGATGACATGGTTTCACTTTTTCATGAAGTAATATAATGTTAATGGTGTGATTTAAATAAAAGATTAAAACCTGTCATTAATTGAATAATTTCCTGCATTTTTGGTAAAAATATTAACAACCTATGACTTTTGTTTTAAAATAATAATCTGAGCTTTAAACATTTCTTTACAGATAAAATGTTAATGCTTTCAGAAAAAAATTATGAATTCTAAGTAAACTTGTTTTAATTTTAAACCCATTTTTTGTAGTCCTTCTCAGAGAGATTTGTAATCATATTAATTATGTCATTGTGACATTATCCTTAATTTCTTAAATTGTTCTTCCAAATGCAGAGAAAAGTTGAGTTGGACTTGCATCATTAACCTCTTAAGGATTGAAACTGTTGGTCCCACTTACATAGGTGAACTGATATGTAATACACTCTTCTGATGTATTTTGTCTGTCATTTGAAGAACCTTCCTGTAGTTTCAACATTTAACTAGGTTGATTATTTGAAAATTGAAATATAAGTTTGGCAGATATTTTTCTCCATATAGAAAATAGCTTGTTAGAGTCTATCAGATTCAAAATTGGTACATAGGTATTATTTTTAAAACAACCTTATCATTTCCATTTTCATCTCCTCTTATTTATCTTATCGTCCCCTCCCCTTTTGTCTCCCTTTCTTCTGTAGCTCATACAACTCAGTTTATGCAACCAGGTTGGTATTACCTGAAGACAGTTGGCCATTTACAGAAAGGAGGAAGCTATGTAGCTCTGACTGATGGCTTAGGTAACCTCACTGTCATCGTTGAAACTATGGTAAATTTTTGTTGATATTGGATTAATTCACTTCTTTAGTATTGGAAACATAGAATAATACAAAACAGAACCCATTTATTTTTTGGTTTTATACACATACACAGACATACACAGACACACAGACACACACCATGGTCTTACAGCTTTTGTTTTAAAATTTTAGCCATGAGCCAGTAAAATACAGCATTACAACTCACTGGTTTATATAAAACAGTTAGCTGTCATCTTTACTCTACTTGTATTTCTGGCAAATGGGGCAAAATCAGTTACCTGTTTACAAATACATGTGGAGGAGACCTTCAGGACTTCCCCTTGCTTGCACTGATACATAATCTCATGTAGACTGTGGCTTTTTCCATTTTTATCACACGTACAGTAGTTGCTTTGTGGGGATTTTAGTCTGTTAAAAGAAAGGTCTCTAAAGTTCAAAGAGCTCCACGCCTATAGCAGGAAGGGAAAAGTTCTGAAAGGTAAAAGGAAGGGAGAAGGTAAGGGCTTGGAGTGGGGCATATTAAGGACATAGGGGAGAAAGTAGAAGATTAATGGTGATAAAAGCAGGAAGAAGGAGCAGAAGCAAATGGAAAGGTCTTAGAGGTACCAGTTTGGAGAGGTCTTGAGCTTCTTAAAGAGGTCAGTGAAGTTCAAACAAGAGGAAGATGAACAGAGCTGCAGCATGTGTAGTCAAAAGGGTTTGAGAAGAGGGTTTCAGGTGTCCAAGAAGTTCCTGTGGGAGAAGTAAGATCCAATCCATATAACCCAGAAGCCTTAAACATGTATGTATCTCCTATCTGAACATCAGCCTACAATTTGGCTAACTCCTGACCATAGAGCTCTTAAAAATATTTTTAAAATACTAAAAAAAAACAATCTGAGACTATCTTATAATTAGCCTTCAGTGAGAACAAATAGTAAATATTGCAGGTAGTGTTCAACTTTTTTAAAACCAAAGATATTTGACAGGTGAGTTAGAATCAAATTAAGCCTTTTATGACTTTCCATGGACCAAAGAGGACTTTTCATAAAAGCAGACAAAAAGAAGCAGCCCTCCCAAGACTCAAGACCATGCCCAAAGACAGCAAAAGAAAGAATGACAGATATTCTCCTACTTAGAGCTGGCAACAGTCATTACACTAATTGCAAAAGGGGCGCAACCCACACTTCAGACTGGCTGTATTCTTGGGTCTCCCATAACCTATATTTGGGTACATGCATAAATGAAAGTGACAACTTACAGACTTCTGACAGGCAAAATGTCAAGCTAAGTTCATACACAAATGGAAACAAACACAAGAACAATTGTCCCAGAGGGGAAAAGAATCTGTAACTAATTGGTACCCAAAACCCACTTCATGCAAGAGTCAAATCAAAGCCTTTTTTCCTGCTCATCTGAATGTGGACAGGTGAGGGCAAGGAATGTTGTGTTGTGTTGTGTTTTGTTTTGTTTTAACAGCATTACATCACCAGCATGTGTGAGGGTGTGAGGTAGTACTTTATTGTACTGTAGTTTGGTTTGTATTTTCCTAGTGATTAGTGATGTTGAATTTCTTTTCATGGGCTAATTGGCTAGGTATATATCTTTTGGAGAAATGTTGATTTATACCCATTACCCATTTTTAAAATTGGGATGTTTGTGTTTATATTGATGAGTTGCAAGGGTTCTTTATATATATAATTATATAAAATATAAAACAACATATTATTAAAATGTATATCATTATATATTAAAATATATAACACATTAAAATATATATCATTATAATATATTAAAATATATATTATTGTGATATAATATATACTATGTTTTATAATAGACTGTAAATAATAAAATATAATATAGATAATATAATAGATAATATAAAACATAAATATACTGTATAAAAGTATCATTGGATTTATTGTATATATCATTTGCATATAATTTTCTCCCATTCTTTGGTTTGTCTTTCACATTCTTATGGTGCCCTTTGGAGTGGAAAAATTTAAAATTTTGGATAAAGTCCAGCTTATTTTTTCTTTCTTATGCTTTTAGTATTCTATCTCAGAAACTGTAACCTAATCCAACACTATGAAGATTTATACCGTTTTCCTCTAATAGTCTTTATAGTTTAAAATCTTACATTTAGATGTTTGTTTGATCCATGTTATTTCTTTTTCTTTTTTGTTTTTGTTTTTGTTTTTTTTTGATATTGGGGATCAAACTTAGGATCTTGTGCTTGTGAGGCAGGTGCGGTGCCACAGAGCTAAATCCCCAGCCCGAGATCCATATAATTTCTTAATGGATGTTAGATATTTGTCCAACTTCACTCTTTTGCATGTAGGTATCCAAATGTTCCTGCATCATTTATTGAAAAGACTGCTCTTTCCTTTTGAATTATGTGGCACTCTTGTTGAAAATAAATTTGAGAGTTTATTTATGAAATCTCCATTCTGTTCCATTGGTCTGTGTATCTGTTCTTAGACGAATGCTATACTGTCTTCATTACTGTAGTCTGTGTTCAATTTTAGAATCAGAAATGTAAGCCTTCCAACTTTGTTCTTTTTAAAGATTGTTTGGCTATTTCAGGTTCGTTGCATTTCCAAATTAATTTTAGAATCAACTTAGCAGTTTCTGAAAAGGGGCCAATCAGGAGTTGGTAGGGGTTTTACTTTATCTGTGGATTAATTTGGGGTGTATTGCCATTCTAACATACCAGATATTGGGCTGAAGGATGTAGCTCAGTGGTTCCACACCTGCGTGGCAAGAACAAGGTCCTGAGTTTGATCCCCAGTACCAGAAAAAAGAAAATAAAAAAGAAAACAAATAACGTATCAGACATTTTTTTCCAGTGCACAAATATAGGTTGCCTTTCCATTCATTTTGCCTTAATTTCCTTCTACATTTTGTAGTTTTAAGTAAATGTATCTTTTACTTTTTGTTAAAATTATATATTTTTTCTATGTATGAATGTGTCACCTATATATAAAAATAATTTAATTTCTTCTTTTCTAGTCTAGATGCTTTTCTTTTTCATTTTCTAATTGTCCATTCTAATATCTTTAGTACAATGGAAATAGTGAGACTGTGTATTGTCTTCCTGTTTCTGATTTTAAAGAGAAACACCATTAAATATAATGCCAGCTATGTTTTTTTGTTCGTTTGTTTTTGTTTTTTGTAAATGATGAAAACTTCAGATTGAGGAACTTTCCTGCTAGTCTTAGTTTGAGAGTTTGAGGAATCTTTTAAATGCTGTCTGCCTCTATTGACATGCTCACATGATTTTGCCATTTATTCTAATAAGATGGTATAATAGGTTTCATGAATTTTATATATGGAAACACTCATGTATTCCTGAGATAAAGCCTACTTTATGATCACATATAATCCTTTTTAGTTTTTGTTGGAGTTGGAGTATTTTATAATGATTTTGTGCCCATTTATAAGAAATATTACTCTGCAGTTGTTATGTTATTGTTGAATGGTTCATCTTTTTTTTGTCTCATATTATTTTGGGATTTTCTTGCTGGTTGTAAATATATTTATAACCCTTACATTTTTCTGATGAATTGACCTGTTCCTTATAAAATGCTCTACCTCTAGTTTTAGTTTTCCTTGTGTTTTAAAATATGCCTTGTCTGCTATTGTCCTAGCCATTATGACTTTCTGTGGTTTCTGTTGTGTCTTTCCCAGTTTTACTTTCAGTTGTCTTATTTCTTTGAATCTGAAGTATATCTCCTTTCAATAGCATATGTTGGATCTCGCTGCTTTAAAAGAAAATCATATATTTTGATTGGATTATTTAATCTACTAACAGTATTAATACTGATAAGGTTGGATGTAGAGCAGTCTTTTTAGTTTCTGTTTTCTGTAAGTTTCACTTTTTTCCATGTTCCTCCTTTACTGTTCTCTGTTGCATTAAGTGAATTACTTTGGATGTGACATTTTAGTTCCTTTAATGATTTTTTTCAATGTATTTTTGTGAGGCTTTTTTTTTATTTAGTGATGGTCCTAGAGCACACACATCTTATCAGAATCACTTTGGATTTAAATTAACTGAATTCAATGAGATCTGGAAAAATTATTTTTATGTTGCTCTAGTCCCTTTTCTTATTTTGTTCTTTTATTATTGTACTTGTCATATGTGTTGAAAACCTGTCAAAACATTGTTAAATTATTACTTTATATACACATTTATATATTTTAAACAGAAGGGTAAAAGTGTATATACTGTGTTTTTTTCTTATCATTCTTTTCATTTCTATGTATCTGAGTTATTGTCTAGTGTTATTTTTTTCTTTCCAAATATAGTTTTTTTCCCTTCTGAATCCTTTTTGCTGCTATTGGCAGTGGTATTCTATATCTGTGTCTTGTAAGCCCAACAATATGGTTACAATATATGTCTTAAAAACTGCTTTCAAAATCTGTTATGAGTGGAAGGGAAAAGAAATACACATTTTAATTACCCTTTATAATTCCATAATTGTCATTACCAATATGTTTTGTTTGTGAATTTGAATTGCCTTCTGGTGTCTCTTGCTTTCAGTATGATGTACTCCTTTTACTATTTTGTGAGAGCTGTCTGGTTTCATCTTTATAATTCCATAATTGTCATTACCAATATGTTTTGTTTGTGAATTTGAATTGCCTTCTGGTGTCTCTTGCTTTCAGTATGATGTACTCCTTTTACTATTTTGTGAGAGCTGTGTCTGGTTTCATCACTTTTTTTTTTTGTTACTCACTTCCATTTTAACCTAATACGGTAAAATATATTTGGTGTTACTTGATTGTTTTTAATTTATTGAAACTTCTTTGGATAAGACTGTGGTGTACTTTGGTCAGTGCTCCATGTGCATTTGAAAAGAGTGTGCCTTCTGCCGTTGCTGGATGGAGTGACCTGTATATGTCAATGAAGGCGAATTACTTGACAGTGTTGTCCAAATCGCTTACATCCTTAGCAGTATTGAAATGTGAAGTTATGACAGTTATTTTTTAATTGTCTGCAAAGCCTAGGATAGAACCTTATATTGTATGTGCTCTGTGATTGTTGAATCCTCTGAAGTACTAGGAATTATGTCTCATACCTACCTCTATTCCAGCCTACAACAATGACTACAACAGTAAAAGATGACAGCATTATGAGGACTATTTAAGATGCCTTTTCAGTGAAAATATCAAAGCTTTTGTTTTTTTGTTTGATGTATCTTACTTGGAAAATGTAACAAAAAACTAATTCCAAGGGTGAATATCTCTAGAGTTTAGCTGTAAATTCGAAGTTTGATTCACTTAAAAAGTCACAGATTTGCTTTGAGTAGGCATACAATATACATTCATTAAAGTTACATTAGAAAAGGTCTTAACATCTGAAATATATTCATATCTGTTATCTAATGTATAGCATTTCCATTAATCTTGAGGTATTTGTTATATAAGTTTTTCCCTTCTAAAATAGCTTGCGTATTTTTTTTTTTTTTGTCTCCTCAGAGTCATAAACATTCCAAGTGTATTCGACCATTTCTTCCTTTTTACAATGTGTCCGCACAATTGGCTACCTTTGATCTTAAGGGATCTTTTGTAAGTACAGATATATGCCTTCATTTTGATTTGGGAATTTATATATTCTACCACAGGCCCACAGCTTTTAAGTGAAGTCTTGTATTAGGAACTAATAATAATTTGCCAATGAGTGGACACCTTTCCTGATGTCTTCTGACTTTGTTAATCAGGGAGAAGACAGTAGGAAGTAGAGCTCTCTGTGGCTTTGAGGAATACTTATGAAACACACTTACAAGAAAATTATTCTTGGTGGTGTAAACATTAAGGAACTTTTAAGCATTGTTCTTGAGAATATTCTATACTTAACAAAAAACAAATAAAACCCCCAAACTGCCATATTCTTACTATTTTCTTTTCTTTTCTTTTTTTTTGGAGATCGAACTCTGGTCTTGCATTTGCAAGGCAGGTGGCGGAACCTCTGAGCTAAATCCCCAGCTCTTGCTATTTTCTACTTGTTATAGTTCAACTAAGAAAATGCAATATCCTTTCTGGTTACTAATGTCATACTAATTGTTTTTATACCAGAGAATTCTTAAAAAAGATTTTATGTGTTCAATAATGAGTATTTTTGAAGCAAAGACACTAAAATCTCTCTTTTAGCATTTTCCAGTATAGTGTTTATAGGAAATAAAATTTTTGCTTGAGAGTGTCTTCCCATTTCCAGAAATATTGCTACTTAAAATTCGAGATGGTTCTTTTGGTAAATAGAAATTGAGTGTGCATTGCTGTTGCTCTGTCCTTGCTGGGAACTGCTTATGGAGATCCTTAGAATGTGATGAATTAGTCAATCATTGTTTCTTGTATTTTTTTCCCCAGGGTGAAATACCAGTGCTACAGATGTGGTATACCAAACTCGGAAAACCATCCGAGAGAGTTCTTTTTAAACAACTTGATTCTCTATGGGTAGTTTTAAAATAACTTTCTATATTTTAGTTACTACAACAGCAAAGTAGTAAAAAGGAACAGAAATTTGATTAATGATATAAGGATTTTTAGTTTCTGTAGGATTTTATGGCTGAACCATACGTTTGCCCTCTCTCTTTTATATAGAACGTTTTTGTGGCATTATAGAAGTCCATCTGTTCGTAGATGTTTGCTCTCAGATGCTAGTTTGTCTTCATGCATGCTGTCGTCACCTGTCTGCCCAAGTGAGAAATTCAAGTCTTACTCCATGTTCTCTCTCACTCACCCTCTGTGTTCTACTGGTGATCAACACAGATAGTTTAGTCATCATATATTTCTTTTACTCAGTCCTTATTTTTCATTCCATTGTGGCTGCCTGTTTTTCCTCATTATTGCTCTCCTGGATTTCTCAAACTACTTCCCATTTTTCCAGCCTCGAGTTGGACTCCCTCCAGAACAGCTATCACACTACTACTAGATGTAATCTGTGTAAAATGTGGATCTGATTGTCGTAATACCTTGTTCAGAAGGCATCAGTAATGTTCTGCTGTTAGTTCACATTCCTTAGCACGGCACATGGCCCTCATTACCCCTCATAAGGTGGAAGATGGATTTCCTTCCCAGATACATGGCTTGTTAAACTGGCCTCTCCTCACTCACTAAACTTTATGCATTTTTCACATGCTTTTTCCTTCTATTAGAATAGCTTCTCTTCATATATTTGTCATCTTTTAAAACTCATTTTCTGTGTCGCTTCCTCTGAAGCTTCTGCCCCCTGTCTCTCCATGGCTGGCCACCTAGAACTATGTGCTGAATTCCTTTTCCACTGCATTGTACACCTAACCTTAGTGAGCTTTATAGCACAGCAGCCTACTCAAGAAAGGCTCTTTTTCAAAGACTTGAGTTGTCCCAAGCTAGGGTATTACTTCTGACACAAATCTGCTCCTTTTTCTGATAATTATTAAAGCTCAAATAATTAACTAGTCACCATCAGTAATTACCCACTACATATTAAATTATAAAAAGAGAGCATTATATTGTTTAATCCTCCCAGCAACTTTACAGTGTATATATATTTTCCCTTTCATTTTATTGATAAGGGGGAAAAGTTAAAGAGATTAGGTTGCCAAGATAATAAATGTAACAGCCCTAACTTGCTAATTGAAATATTAGAACATATCATGAACAGGGTTTTTTCTTAATTGTAAGATTTTCTGTGATTAGAAGTTGAGTCAAGAGTGAGATTGCATGGATTTTTCTCCCTTTGTAAATTCCTGCAAGAAAAATAAGCATGTCACTTTTCATGAAGTGAATACAAGTTTTAAAGAGCTTAAAGTATAATGGGAAAGAACAGGCTAATAGAAATAGATGAGGGGATCATCTGGCCCTTTCCTCCATGAAGTGGAATTCTTTAAAAATATTTTCTATAGTGAAATTTTATGAAAACACTTAAGAAAAAAAGATCCAAAGGGCCTTATTGGTGTGTCTTTCACAAGTATTTAAAAGTCCTACTAGAAACGAGCTGGGCTTTTAAGTTTCCTTTTTAAGAGCTCTTTTTCTCTAGCCAGGGTGAGCCATAGCGTGTGGCCCTGACTGCAGCCGTGTCTTCTTTTCCAGCTCCTTGACAGCAATGGCACCTTCACCCTGGAACTGCAAGAGGACGAGCTGTTTACACTCACTACCCTCACCACAGGTCGCAAAGGAAGCTACCCAATGCCTCCCAAATCCCAGCCTTTCCCACATGTCTATAAGGATAATTTCAATGTTGGTAAGTGTTCCTCACTAACATGTTATGTAGTCTGGACCCATAGCAGCAGCAGTAGGTCCGTTTCTGTCCATGGGACTGGATACATGATGGGATGGCTGTTAGAAATGCTGTCATTTAGTTCTCAAATCTTGGTGATCAAATGATACCTTTGTATTACTTTAAGGTACATCTCAACTTGTGGGCCCTATTTTTTCTTTTTCTTTTGACCTTTTTGAGACAGAGTCTCACTATGTAATTTAGGTTGGCCTCCAACTTGCTGTGTAGCCCAGGCTGGCCTCAAACTCAAGATCCCCTTACCTTTGCTTTCCAAGTTGCTGGAGTTTCAGTCATGCCCCACCATGCCTGACTAGGACTCTGTATTTTTCACTGCTAGAAAAAAATATAGAGTTCATAGTTACAATGACTGTTAATTGAACTTCTTTTCAGTGAAAGTTAAGATTGGTATCCCTTACTGGCATTTTCCTTTTGTGTGGTGATTAAGCCACATAAATGTGTTGTCTTTCCATGGTGCTAGTGAATTGGGTGCTTAGAAGTAGTTATGTGATATATGGATAACCCAAATTGTTATGTACCCAAAGCTGTGCCTGGGAGTTTTATACTACAGCTTTCCTGGAGGTTAGGAAGATCTATGCTAATGCTGCTAGAAAAGCTTTGATTATAGATAATTTAGAAAAACCATTTGAAAAGTTAGAAAGCAGTCATTGTGGTTGTATTTCTAGATCATGTAGCAAGCAACAAAATTTGTGATTCATAAGTGATGTTATATAGAATTAGTTGCCTCAGAGACAGATCAGGTGGCTTTGTAACCTGCTCCTAAAGTTTGTAGTTGTAGGGAGAGTAAATAGGAAGGGAATGGTATTGCTAGGGAGCAAGTTCAGTCTTCTTACGGCTGGATGGTGGGAAGGATTGTTCCATCAAGATTAGAGACTCCAGCCTGTCCCTGCCAGCCACTGCTACAGGGCGTCAGCTTCCTCTCCGAGGAAATGATCCTCCAGCTGCTTGGCGTATAAAGCCCAGTTGTACCGGAGTCTCCTCAACTGTTTGAAGATAGAATGATATAACAAAGGGCGAAGATGAGATGATCCAGAAATCAGGCTGTTAGACCTAAACTCTAAACGGTGATTATAAGTATTATTTATGTATTTTAAAAATTTCAACGTATTTGAAAATATCCCCTAAGATATCAGAGAGAGATTTTGTGACAATTTTGTTACTAAACAGATCATTTATTGTATTCTGAACAGATTACCCATTTTTTAGTGAAGCTCCGAATTTTGCTGACCAGACTGGTGTATTTGAGTATTACATGAACCTCGAAGACCCTGGAGAGCATCGCTTCACTCTACGCCAGGTTCTCAATCAGCGACCTATTACTTGGGCTGCAGATGCTTCCAGCCCGATCAGCATTCTAGGAGACTACCAGTGGTGTGTAAGATCGATGTCCTCAGTGTAGATCTGGCTGAAGTAGCCTTGTAGTGTTGTCAGGTACATTCTGAAGCAGAGAGTTTTCTGGAGTCCTCCTTGTGTAAGAATGCAACCCCCATGTGGCAGACCTTGAGTATCCTAGCTAGTTACAAGTCAGCACGTTGCTTTGCTGCCTCAATATCTTGCCTTCACATTTACTCAATTTAATAGCTATTATTATACGAGAAATTTGATTTTTATTTAAATATTGAAGATTTTTAACCGAGTTATAATTTGATATTTATTTACAGGCTGATGTGTATTTGTTTTTTTGGAGAGTTGATGGGTTGATCTAGTTTTGCCACCTGCTGGATCTATAGTAGAATTACACTCTCAGCTTTCATAGAAAATCTACTTAACAGGTAACAGGAGATGGCAATAGTAAAAAGCAAATTAGTGTTAGTTGGCTAGTGATTTCAACTCTTTTCTGTACGTGTTTAGTAAAGAGGCAAGTTGTACTTCTTATTCACTGAAAATGTAATACCAGATCTTCACTTTTTGTTTCAATTTAGTTATGAAACCAGTGTGCTGACTTATGTTATTTTCCATTTTTCTCTATAATTAGTATAATTTCACTTTGGAAATACAGTCATGTAGACACGCACAAGTATTCTAGGATTAAAGATAATAAATAATTCCAAGGCACCAAACAGACATATCTGAAGCTTGGAATTTGGGCAAGGATGAGACAATTAATCTGGAAAGATTCTTGAACTACCTGTCTACCAAACGCTACAGCAGGTCTTTTCCCCTTCTGTTTTACTTATTTGTTTGTCTTCTGAGATTAGGTCTCTTATGTTACTCAGACTACCTTGAACTCACCATCTTCCTGCCTCAGCTTCCCATCTTTTTCCTGTATATATTTCTTCACTCCCAGTTATAAATCCTTATTTGAGTCCCAAGCTTTGACATAAGTCTTGAGAAACTGAGTTATCCAGAGTCTCAAGCCTTTATGGCACCTTGGAATATTACTGAGGCAGAGTGAAGGATTCTTTGGTAATTTAGGTGCATTGTGGTAGCTTGTCTTCTTACAAAACAGAAATATTGTTTATCACACTTTCTGTAAGGGAGACACTTTTCCTGAGCTTTCTGATCATGGCAGTGGAATGTGTGACTTCTTCATGTGTGGTGAATAGTCTTGTAAGATGGGACTGGGTTTGTTTCCAAACCATAGGCCTCATTACTTTGAAGATCAGTGTGAAATCCAGCTACCATAGAAACCTCTAACCTTTCTGTGACAACACCTATCCTCTGTTCCTCTGAACAGAACTCTCTCCCAGTTCTTGTAGAGAACAGTTCTCTTGTTGAGAACTCTTTCTAAACTCGAGCTTTCTGTATTCTGAGGACTCCAGACTTACATTCTGAAGACTTCTGTTCTGAGACTCCAGAACAATCGAGAGGCCCCTTAATTGTATTAAAGAGATGAGATATAGCACCGTCCAAAGTTTTACAACAAAGGAATTCCTTATATATTTAAAGATTTTACATTTCTTAAATAGTAATATTCAGTCTTGACCGTGATCTATGGAAGAGTACAAACAAAGGGTGAGGAAGTGAGGAAGAGGGAGATGGGGGAGTGTTGATAGAGAAGAGTGATACATTCTGAAGAAAAAGAACCCGGGAAAGCAGTGATGCCTACAGAAAGGACTGCTTTTATCTTCTTAAACTCCATTTCACCACGACATTCCATTGTCCAGGAATATGTGTCTCTTTCCTGCTACCAAATCGGTTCCATACTGCTATGCTGACTTCTAACATCCTTTGTAGTTTGGTCTCTTCTATTTATTCTGTGTTTTTTCACAATACTTCATCCTATTTGAGGCAGCCACATCTGCTCAGAGAACCATACAGACCCATGTTCATTTTAAACATCGTCTTCTTTCTAAAGTAGGCAAGGGAAAATTGAGTTAGTGTCTCTGTAGTGCTATATTAGAAAATCAGTTCTTAAGCATGCACAGTAATAGTATGTAGTTCATGGAATTGTGTTGGTGAACCTTCTCTCCTCCTGTACTTAACTTCTGTTGAATACCAGAACAATAATTTGACTACGCTGAAGCTACTTGAGGATTTCTATCATGTTAGTAAGCTCTGCTTACAGTGTGAAAAAAATCACAAAATGATCTTCCCTTGCATGCGTCTGACCTCTCCATCCCTTTGATCAACTTTTCTTAATGTACTAGCTGTTTCTTATTCCCTCAGCATAACTGAGAGATTATGGCTGTGGAAAAATAAACCATGTTTTTGTTCTATTTCATATGTTATTTACAAAATTGCCTGGCAGGTTTTGATGCAAGAATCAACTTATTCTGGAAAAAGAGATGTTTCATTTTCTATTATTCCAGCTGTAAATAGAATAAGTTTATGGCACTGGCAATATTTGTTGAATCATCAAACTTCTGATGAGTCAGAAAAGAGGTGGGGGATTTACATGACAGTGCTAACCCTTAGTGGCTTTTTGGTGCATCTATAGAGAGAAAAGCTTCCTCTGGTGTATGTGGAGAGACTGGCTTCAGTTCCTTAGTATTTATTTAATCTTCCTGTAAAGCAGCCCAGCTGTAATTAGGTAATTAATTGTGAATCTTTCTGAATGTGTGCCTATTATAGATGCTCCCTCCATCTAGCTGTCTTCTTTTATGTAATACAATTCCACTGTGCAAAATTCTCCAAGAAACTCAGAGGAATGCGAAGACCACATAATTCTAGATCTAATGTTGGCCTCCCCAATTTTCTAAATATATTTTTTTGTAATTTTACTTTAGATAGATTACTAGCTTTAGTACTCGGTGAGACGCAAGTGCTTTTTTCTTTTCATGAGCAGTTAGATATTGAATAGAAAGTGAATGTTTTTCAGAGATCATGTTGGTTATTATCCCAGAAAGAAAATGTTGTATCTGATAGTATATTTAAAAGGAAACACAGAGGTGAGCTCGTTGTCAAAGCTCTGATAGTCCCTGGTTTATTGAATCTTTCCGCTCCTTTGACACACTCCTATGAGTCAGGGAGCCTAGAAGCAAAGTCTCATTGCCCCAGTATAGACCGAGAAGCATGGGACAGACAACAACAACATGACTTGGGAAGCTGTTAGACCTGCACATTCAGGGGCCATCCCAGATGGATTGAGTGGTTGGAGGAGTGGGGTGAGGGTGGGGTGCACGTTAACAGGTCTTTTTTTTTTTTTTTTTTTTGGTACCGGGTATAGGATTTGGGTCCCTGAGCTTGCAAGGCAGGAGGTGGAACCACTGAGCTAAATCTCTGGACCCGTAACAGATCTTAATTGCTCTGGTCTGTAAAGCCCTGCTGCAGAAGCAACATGGAGTCCTCACTTTTCAGAGAAAGACTTTAGATCTTATTTTGAGGGCTTTTTAAGTCTTGTTAGGTTTAAATGTAAAAATTGGCTCCAAAGTAGCTAATGTTTTCCCAGAGGCTTCTGGTGTTGCCTCAGTACTTCTGTTCATTTTGGTTGTTCATTTTTTTAATTGGGTCTTTTGTTTGGGGGATGGTGTAATTTGTTTTTTAATTCTTTATATATTCTCTATATTAGTTCTTTGTCCAAGGTATAGCAGGCAGTGTGGTTTTTTTTTCCTATTCTACAGGTTGCCTCTTCACTTTGTTGCTTGTTTCCTTTGTTGTGTTATTTCTTGTGCAATTTGGGTTCTGCTCAGAAAGGCTCACAAAGACATATGCCTATGTCTTTCACCTTGTTGGGTTGAACACTCTGTAGACACTTGTTAAGTCCATTTGTTCAAAGGTGTATGTAATCCAACTCTACTATTTGTTGATTTTTGGTCTAATTGACCTATTTGTGATAGTGTCTTGAGATCCCCACTGTGATTGTGTTGATCTGATCTTTTATGTACAGTAGTGTTTGTTTTATGCACTTGCATGTGTTGGTATTTGGTGTATATATTTACAATTGTTATCTCTTCCTGTGAATTCTTCCTTTAACCAATATGTAGTGACCTTTTCCTCCTCTGATTAGTTTTGTCTTGAAATCCATTTTGTTTGAAAATAGGATAGCTACTCCTGCTTGCTTTTGGGCTCCTGTTGCTTGGAATATTGTTTTCCATCCTTTGGTTTTTAGTTTATGATTGTTTTTATTAAAATGTGTCTGTTGTAGGTAGCACACATTGGTTTAGATCCTTAATTAAATTTACTAATCTGTTTTTTGATTAGGTGGCTAAAATCATTTACATTGATCAGTTACTGATAAGTATTGACTTATTCTGGTGACTGCAGTTTTTTAAAAATGTTGCTGACTTCTTTCTTTTTTCCCTTTTGCTTAACTTCTAATCCTGTTTTGTGTATTCATTCCATTAGTTATTTTGGTGTTGTTAACTCTATTATCTCAGTCTAGGATATTCTTGAAAAGTTTTTAGTGTGCTGGTTTGATAGTCATGAATTTCTTAAGGTTCTTTGGCGTGGAATGTCCTCATCACTTTTCAAGGATAGTTTTGGAGAATGTATTAATTAGTATTTGTTGAAAGTTGTTTTCTTTTAGTGTTCTTGAAACACTTCAAGCTTTCTTGGCCTTCAAGATTTGTGTTGAGACGTGTGATCTAATGGGTTTGCCTTTGTAAGTGATTTGGTGCTTTCCTCTAATAGCTTTTAAGATTTTGTACTTGTATCGGACTTCTGAGATTTTGACTGATGATTCATGGAGAAGTTCTTTTCTGATTGTACCTCTGTGGGAATCTGTATACATTGCTTAGATATATTGAATTCTTTCCTCACATTTGGAAAGTCTTTATTATTTCTGTGAACAGATGCTTTTTAATGCCATCCATGCCACCTTCTAACTTTTATTCCAGATAATCTTATGTTAATCTTCTTTGAGTCATCTAGCAGCTGGATCCACTCCCCATGGATCTCCTGATGTTTTTGAGGTATCTCTGGTATATGGTCATCTGTGGGAACCCCATCTTCTAGTTCTGATGCTGTCTTCTCACATTGGTCACTTCTGCTGCCCATACTTTCCATAGAATTTTTTATCTCTTGGATTTCTGTTTGGAACCTTTTCATGAACTCTTAATTCTTTACTAAATTGGTTATTTATGTTTGAAATCATTTTGGTTAGCTCAGCTACCTTTTAATTTGTGTCTTCTTTAAGATTACCCATCATTTTGTTTACTAAATCTATTATCTGTTTAGTTATGTCATCTTTCAGCTCCTAAAACACTTTACTAATCTACTTTGCCTTTTTTAAAAAAAAATTTGTGTAATTCAAACATTTGTTTTTTAATTTACTTGCCATCACTTCCCCTTGTATCTGCTTTGGGTGAGTGGGGAATTTCTGGAGGTCTTTTGTTGTGTAGTTTTCTCATGTTTCTGTTGTTTTGTTTTTCTTATGCTGAGGGCTGAGGATCAGTTAGAGTTGTAAGACGTTGTTGCTAGTATGGAGCTCTCTTTATTTTGGCTCTGCTTTTCAGTGATGTGATGCTGGCTTTGTTTGTGTTTTAGTATTTATCTACTTCTTCAGTGTAATTGGGTCAGACCTGGTTTCTGTGTTGCAAGGAGAGAATCCCTGCCAGTTATATCAGCATCAGCAAATCCAGGTATAGATCAGTCATGCCCATCACATACATTAAAACTTTTTTGGTATCAGTTTCACTATCTTATTAGTGGCCCATACAAACTGTATTTTACTTCTACTGACAGGTAGACTGGGATGTGGGATGGGGGGAAGGAAAAAGGAAGAGGATAAGTCAGTAAGAAGAGAAGAGCAAAGAGAAATATCAGTAGATGATCAACAGACAGAAGATTGGACTTTGTTGAAATTATTTGTATAGCTGGAGAAAAGGACTAGTGGTTGAGTTTGAAAGAATATTTGTGGGAGTGGGAAAATCTACATAGTGAGAGGGAAATACAATTGGGGATTGGGAATTGAGATCATGACAAGTTGTTTTATTATAAAGAGACAGAAAGTATGCTCTTGATCTTAGAAATCATAAACATTGTCTTGTAACTTATTAAAAGAAGCAACAAAGTGAGTTAAGTCACATAAACCTTACCATTGTCATCAGTGAAAATTCTTGAGTCCTGTTTATGCTGTAAGCTCAAGCCTGGCAAGTAACTTTCTGCCTCAGTTAGAAGTTTGGAAGCATTTGCCATGATGTGGCTTATTTGCAGAGTCTAATTTAAGAGTACTAATTATGTGTTTTATTCTGCAGGACCAATCTGACTATCAGCTGCGATGTTTACATAGAAACCCCTGAGAAGGGAGGTGTATTCATTGCAGGGAGAGTAAGTAAAGGTGGTCTCTTGGTTAGAGTTGCCCGAGGAGTTTTCTTCTGGATTTTTGCAAATGGATTGTATAGAGTTACTGGTGATCTAGGTAGGTGACTTTTTTTTTTTAATAGCACATGACTTACTATGTGATGTGTTACTTTGGACATTTGCTTGTCATTGGTAGAAGCGATAAAAGAGCTCCATGCCAAGATGCTTGTATATCTAATTGGGAAGAGATTTAACACATGTAAGCAAATACCAAACAATTGAGAATTATAGTTATTGTATGTTTAAGAGATGTGTGGCTCAGAAAAATGAAAACATGATTATGCAAAGTGTTTTAGGTATTGTTGGATGAGCATAGGATTTGAGTGAGGTAATGATCAGATAGAGAGAATGCTAAGGGAATGCCATGAAGAAAAGCAGATATAAGAGTGTTGCTATGGGGCTTGTTGAGATATAAGGAAAGGGACTGATATGTTTAAAATGGAGACATTCTTTGTTAATTTACTTAAAACTTGAAAGAATTTGACTGTTTCATTCATCTTGATAGTATTTGTCCTGTTAGAACTGTACTTACTGTAGAGCAGGTGCTCAGGGTATGCTAAAGTGAAACTGCATCCAGTTCCCTTTGGGTTTAGTGCCCACTCCGTTGTTGAAACCAGACCTTTCTGGTGGTGACTTTTCTTCATTCTCAGTCACTTGAGCTTCACCTTGCATTAATTTTAAAAATTTCTCCTTTTTATGGTTTGCTTTTCTTTGCCTTGGCTGTAAAATAACACATAATCACACCTCGGTTCACAAATACTTTTGTTTGCAAACAATTTGGTTTGCAAACAGAAACATTTGGCACAGTTTTGCTTTTGTTTGCAGACTGCATCAGAAGACAAACATGACTGTGCCATCTTTCCCACACAAACACAAATGTGGTCATCTTTTCTAAAATCATAGAACAAATTAAGTTCAGCCGAAGCACCACTATATAAAATAAAGGAGTAGGTGGTATGGACATCAGAGTAGCAACTGCATACCTATAGCAAGACTGATCTACGGTGTTTATCATTGATTTTCCAGAACAAAACAGATAGCCAGAGAGGTTAATTGATTTACTCGGTCTTAAAACTAGTGGCAGAATTAGAACTAGGATGTAAATCTGTATCTTCAGTCCTCACTGTTCTGTATTTCAAACTGCCTGCTTGATATCTTTTCCTGGCTTTTGCTCAGGTATTTTAAGTATACTGAATCTAAAAATTAACTCATCCTGTTCTCCATCTAAGTTAACACTATTACCATCAAAGCAATTCTACCAGCTGGAAGTCTGACAGTCTTGAACTGCTTGCTCTTACTGTCTGTGTTCAGTCTAAGCAAGTTTTAAATGTACTCTGAAGTATAGGCATCAACTCATTACACTATGAGTTAGTTTTTAGCTTTATATCACTAGTTCTGTTGTGAACTCACAAAAGTTTATGGTTCAGAATGAGAGCTCAATACATGCTCTGTACATGCTTTTGGAATGTGTGATGGAATTTTGAATCAGTTGTAGAGCTGGAAATGAAGGGGTAGTTCTTTATTAAGACTGACTTTACTATATGCAAATGCTGCGTGAGCACCCCACTGATATGATTCTGTGATTTAGACTTTAAAAAGTATCTGTTAGGATAATCTTTTGTGTTACAGGTGGATGGATCATATATTCCTCAGGATATGTTGAAGTGACAGCAAAAAAATGGTACACACTTACATTAACAATTGAGGTAAGTGTTGCTGATCAGAATGCCTCGAGAAAAGCATTCTTGTATCTTTCTAGAATTTTGTGTTATAAAATAAGTGGGGGAAAATATGTTAATGACGAGTCAGAGAGACTGCATCATAGGACCAGTAGTACACTGTCCATAGGATGAAGATGTCTCAGTAACCTACATAACGAGTTCACTTTGTCAGACTATTATTTTTAAGTTTCCTTTTTGTCTTTTAAACTGAGGAATAATTGGTAACATCAGTAATTGAACTACGGTACAGTTGGTGCAGTATCTTTCTTTTTACATGAGACAAAACTTACATGCAAAGTCACACAAATTTATTTTGGACACTTTAGAACAGTGTTTCAGTGGGCAGGTTGTATCACTGAAAGCTCTAAAACACTTGCTGTCTCTGGTTTAGAGCAGTATGACCATCACCTGGAAGCACAGTGTTGTAGAAGCTGGTTTCCGTGAGTATTTTTGTTAGAGAAGATACCAGAATAATCAGAGCATAGAGGCAGTTTCACAGTAGTCATAGAAGGCAACGGTTGATTATGAGTTACTGATTGAGAGAGTTTTCAAAGGATGCTACAGAGATCTTCTGTGTAATATGCTGCTCTCTCTCAATACAGTCCTCTCAGAATCTTGTTTAGATTGTGATCAAAATTAAAATTCAGATAACTTTTGAATTTATTTTCTCTTCCTACTCAATGGCCCCAAATGACAATACTCATTTTTCAAATATTGAAGATCTGATTGGGATGTAGCATATCAACCTGTTTTAATTCTTTACATCCTACTTAGTGTGTTATTTATTGTGTATATGTTTGTGTGTCTCCTTTGAGAATATAAGTGTAATAAAAGCAAGACCTTGTCTTGTTCCTCTTAAATTCCCAGGACATGGAATATATTTCCTGCATAAATGAAATAAAACATTTTCTCATCCAGAATATCACAGAGAAACCCTTATGAAGATTAAATAAGATAATATACACGAAAGTTTGCTACAGTATCTGATGTGATAAGCACTTAATTAATCGAGTTAAAATTCCAGGAGTAGAGCCTTTGGGACCAGACATACCAGCACTCATATTTCCTCTATTACTGAGACTTCCAGCAAATAATTTTATGTCTCTTACATTCTATTTCTTTATCTGTAAAGTGGAGATAACTTCTGTATGGTTGTTTTAAGTGTTTCATTTTTTTATTCAGCACATTTTTTTTTCTTTGGTTTTTTTGAGACAGGGTGTCACTATGTAGTTGAGACTGTCCTGGAACTCACTGTGTAGTCCAGGCTGGTCTTGAACTCACAGCGATCCTCCTGCCTCAGCCTTCCAAGGGCTGGGATTACAGGTGTGAGCCACCATGCCCAGCTCTCAGCACATTTTTATTTTAATTTTTTTTCTTCTTTATCCAGTTTCCAATTGATGGGCAGATGGGCTGTTTCCAAGTTTTAGCTATTACGAACTGTGCTGCTATAATCAGCACATTTTTATTAAGCATTCCTGGAACTCACTGTGTAGTCCAGGCTGGTCTTGAACTCACAGCAATCCTCCTGCCTCAGCCTTCCAAGGGCTGGGATTACAGGTGTGATCCTCTATATGCACTTTCCAGGGGGCTAGGGACACAGCTTTGAAGAAGACAAACAGATTCCTGCTTCCACAGAGCACATTTTCTTCTAGCACAGGGGTTGACAGCCTTTTTCTGTAAAGGACCAGATGGTAAATCTCTGTGATCCCTGTTGTAGCTGCTCAGCTGTGCTGTTTTAATGAGAAAGGAGAGATATGTGAGAGGTAAATGAGTGGATGTGCTTTATACAGTTTGTGTGTGTGAGTTCTTTGCCTCAGTGTGCGTAGTCACTGTCCTGTAAGTGCAGAAAGATGTTCAGTAAGCACGTTCAGAGCTGAACACAGCCATGCAGGTGTGTAGCAATAATAACGACTTAGTATTTGAAGTTGGACAGCTTGAATTCAAGTCTCAGCTCTGCTGGTGTATATATCTGAGTCTTTGAGCTTTAATCTTGTTAAAATTCAGCATCTCTGCTCATAAAAGAGAAGAACCAAATTATGGCCCATTGCATTATAATTTTAAAACATAACAATTTGGGGGGCCTAGTACTTTGAATCTCCAGCCATTCACCTTTTAAGAAGAGCTAGTTTTCAGTGTTCAGATGGAGTAGGTGTGCTGTGAGTATATTCCTTTTGTCCTTTGTCAGTGACCAATTAATCAAACCTTATGGATACTTCCCTCCTTCCACACACCTATACCTGCCCCATCATCATTTTAATTGATGGTTACTATTTTTCTAACTTAAGAATAGGAGTTCCATATGGCTTTGTAGTGACATGGCTGTAAATGGGGACAAAACAATAATAGTAAGGCTGGTCTCTTCTCTTTTGGGCTAGGTGAAGGGTCTTTAATGGAAATCTTAAATAATGAGGAAGAGTCCAATGTTTGGCCTTAATATAATCATATCTGAAGAGTGGATGCTTGTTAGCCACAGGCCTGTATGTGTACCTCAGAAAAATAACACATTTCTTCTTTTTAAAATTTTAGTGAGCTTTCATCTAAAACTATAATAATGTTAGCAAAAGTATTGCATTTTTGTAGGTTTTACATTTTTGTGGAGCACAAGGAGATATGGGAGTATTTCTTATATCATGGAAACTATTTAAATAGGTAGTTCCTACTAGATTGCCCAGAAAAATTTTCCTGTATTTCATTCTTTTGCTTAAACTTGCAGAATTTTGTTTCACAGTTGTAAATCTTGAGTGAGAAAGACATTTACCCCACTACTTATGTAGACCCTTTGTTGTTAAGAAACAGACTTTGGAGGGTCATTTCTATGTATGTTCAAGAGATGTGTTTTCTCTCTACTCTAGGGTAATGTATCCTCTGGCAAGTTGAATGGCAAGGTTCTGTGGGAAAATATCCATGTGAAATACCCGAAGAATGGCTGGGCTGCGATTGGAACTCGCTCATTCGAATTTGCACAGTTTGACAACTTTCACGTGGAAGTCTCACACTAATACAGCTTGTTCAGAACACTCCTGATTTTCTTCCTTTTGGATTTGGTTCAGAGCCAATTTGTGTGTTATGGATTGCTAGATGTGCCTTTGGAGGCTAAAAATAAGGAAGAGTTTATGGGGAGAAAGATATATTTTTGCTTGATCCTAAGAAAGATTGTATTAGAAATAATTCCAAAGGGAATATACATTGTTAACATCATGCAATATGGCTCATAAAATTCAGACTCTTCACTGGTCCTGTTGGAGTTTTTTTGGAGTGTTCTCCATGTGACCAAGTGAATTCATGTCCTCATCATAGGATGATGCTACCGTAGAGAAAGCTGAAGAATATGAAGTGTTGCTTTTGAAAACTACTTCAACATGCTGTCCTTACACTCTAATATTTTTTTTAATTTTTAAAATGATGGTTTTTGAATGATGAATAGGATGATTTGAAAAATGCTTCTTTAGTAAACTACCTCTAATATTGTTTCTGCAATAATAAATTATAACAAATTAATGAGATTATTTGTATTCTTTAATTTGTTTGATTCCAACTTTTAGTTTCATAACACTTGGAACTTCCTGGTAATATTTCCATGGGTACCTGCAAGAATGAAGAATTCTCATTGTTACCAGTGCTGTAAGTGGGTCCAGAGGCAAAGTTGTAGCAGGTTTCCCGGGCCTCATTTCACTGTGACTTTTGTGGTCTGCCCTAACATGTTGCCTTGGGAACAGATCAAACAGCTACCAAATGCTTTTATCTCCTTATATGCAGAAGGAGGGGAACACACTTAGCTTTTACCAGCTCACAGAATTGGATCATCTCATTTTTTGTTTGTTTGTTCTTACCGGGGTTGAACTCAAAACCCTGTGCTTGTGAGGCAGGTGGTGGAACCACTGAGCTAAAACCCCAGCCCTCATCTAATGTTTTATATGGTTAAGATGCATTTTTTTACAGCCTCAATGTGTGTGTGTGTGTGTGTGTGTGTGTGTGTGTGTGTGTGTATTTACATATGAACATGTTTCTCATTAGTGTGGTTTATATCTGAGCATTAACATAGTTCCTAGGAGCAAATCAATTATGTGATTAAGCATAGAATTCTTTAAAAGGAATAATTACTCAGGAACTAGTTCTAGTACTCAGGAATTTGTGATAGTGTAACATAGGTGAAGCTACAGTGAAGTATTTCTTTTACACTTGATCGTAGCCAAAAGGCCAAGAAGTGATGATGTGTATTTTATTTCTTTTAAAGACGAGAACCTGATTATTAGAATAAACCAGATTATAGAGGAAAATTTTAAATTAAAGCCAAATCTAAGTGATTTTTTGATTCAGATTGCAAAATGTTTTTAAAAAACTAATATATGTATAAATTATGTACAATAGAATGTTCCCTCTAAGTGTACAGTTCAGTGAGTTTTGATAAATGGATATGCCCATGCAGCCAACATTATAATTAGATATTGAATATTTCTATCCCTCCACAAAGTTCTTTTGTTTAACTATATAACCAATTCTTTTCACTCCCAATCTCAGGCAACCATTGATATGGTTCCAATCTGTTAGTTTTCTTTTTACCAGGCATAAAAGTGGCATAATATGTAGCATATGTGAATTTCTTTCACACGAAGTATAATGCTTTTGAGATTTGTCATGTTTGTGTCAGTGGCTTGCTTTATTGTTTTGGAAGAGTATTCCATTGTATGGATTTCCTACAATTTGTTTTTTCTCCTCCCAGTTTTTGGTATTACAAAGAAAGACAACTATCAGCATTTTCACACAAATCTTCAGGTGAACATATATTTTTATTTCTTCTGGTTTAATACGGAGGAGTAAAATTGCTGGGTCTTATGTTAACTTTATTATAAGAAATCACCAAACTGTTTTCCAAAACCGATTATGATTTTGTACTCCCACCACCGTTTGAGTTTCAATTACTCCATATTCTTATCAATGCTTCATTTTATCATTCTTTCTAATTTTATTTTTAAATTGTGATTGTATAGTAGGTATATTTCTCTAATGACTAAAGATGTTGAGTGTCTTTTCATGGGGTTCATTGGCTATTCATGTAATTTGCTTTATGAAATTTCTGTCCACATATTTTTCTCCTTTAAAAATTATGATATCTTTTCAATGAGTTGGAAAGAGCTCTTTAGATATTCCAGATACAGATTTTTTTTTAAATCAATGTTTTACAAATTATTTTCTTTATTTTTGCAAAGAGCTTGTTGAATTTTGATTGTTATGTTCATCTAAGTACAGGTCATTTTGGAGAGAACTGATATCACTAATAAGGACTTTTCAGTCTAGGAGCAGTTATGTTTCTTCATGCATTTAAGGTCTATAATTTCAGTAATTGCCAGGGTACAAATCTTGAACAAATTTTAAAAAATTTATCCTTAATTTTTTTTCCTTTTACGGGGATCATACTCAGGGCCTTGCTGCCCTAAATCCCTGGCTCTCTTTAAATGTTTTATGTTATGATGCTACTGTAAATTGTTTTTATTTATTTTTTTAAATTGTTTGCTCATACATAGAAATACAGTTTTTATATATTGGCCTGCAATCCTTCTGCTTTACGAAATTAACTTTTTCTAGCATTTTTTTCTTTTAAAAATTCTTTTCAGGGTATACATTTATGCCAAGTGATGGTTGAGTGATTGTGTCAGTTTGAGAAGTCTGGTTAAGAGAAGCTTAGTTAAATCAACTAAGCATCTCCACCCTAGGGCATGGGAAATCCACTGTAGGGCTCTCACCTAGATGGTATAAGGAGAAATGAGGAAGGATGTGGCTGCTTCCATTCCTTTGAAGGGCTTCCTCCCCGCTTTCCCTTGGGTGTTATCTCCTGCCTGGTGGGCAGACTCTTTCACTTCCCACTTCCCGTGCAGTTCGATCCTTCGACTTCCCGTGTAGACTCATTTTCCTTCCAGTGGTATAGTCTTGGCCTTCTGTCACAGACCCTTTGGCTTCCTGCTAAGGGGACCCTTGCTGGGGACACTGCAGTGAGCTTCATACCTTCGACTAAATCCTTCAGTCTCCAGTATGCAGACAGACCCTCTGGACTCTTCCTCATTCGACTCTGTGGGTGGCCGTTGTAAGCTAATCTTGTGAATTCTTATATATTTATATATCGAGTGATATACCTGTTTCTCCAGTAAATACTGACTGATACATGCTATTTGTGAAGGCAGAAAATTTTATTTCTGTTCTAGTATGTCTGCCGAGGTAGTTATTTCTGAGGTAGTTGTTGACTTATTCCACTGGCTGGTCTCTTTACAGTGTTGAGTAACAAGATCATACATCTACACCTTGTTCTTGATTTTAGAAGAATATTTTCACAATTAATGTTATAGTCTAGATTATTTCCATAGATTCCTTTATCTGGGAAGTTTCCTCCCATTTCCATTTTGCTGAGATTTTTATTATGAATAGGTAATGGATTGGTTAAATGCTTTTCTACATCTAATGAAATAGTTATATGACTTTCTCCTTTATTCTGTTAGTGCAATATATGTCATATTATTTGATTTTCTTAGGTAAAACATTAGATTCCTGGTTAGTCATGACCAAATGGGGTCTGTTATGCTATTTACAGATTTATGGATTCCATTTGTCAGCAGTTGGCAAAGGGCATTTGTGTCCATGCTCATGAGGAATGTTGGTCTAGTTTTATTTTCTTGTTATTTCTTTGTCTGTTTTGGGGAGCAAGGTGATGTGGTCTAAAATCAGTAGGAAATGTACCCTCCTTAATTTTTCTGAAAGAGTTTGTGAGGTTCTTGAATCAGTCAGAGTCTGGTCAGGAGACAGAAAACACCAGGTTAAGCTTAGTAGAAAGACTTTATCACAGGGCATTAACCACTGTGGGAGCCAGTCATGGCCCACTGGCATTTGACACTTGAAAGATCACTTCTTTCTTTATAATCAAGGTGTTGACACAATGTGTGGTCAGGATGTTCCTAATTAGCATTTGTTAACATTTGTTCCTTTTTAAGGACTGCACGTGTTAAACTTGTTTTTGACCCTGCATGGGAGAAACTCGAAGAGATAGCCAAAGATCTGATGTTATCTGTAGGAGTCAGGTGCTTCCTGTTAAAGATCTGACGTTATCTTGACGTTATCCGTAGGAGTCAGGTGCTTCCTGTTGATGTGCCTTTAAAAGGAGCTGTTTCTGTGAACTAAATCAGACTTCTCTTGGTCTCCACTCAGGCTTGAGTGTTCTTTCCTTTCTCAATCCTCACTCCCCAACTCAGGCATGTTTGTGTTGTGACGGCTGGACCGCCACAAGTGGCACCTGAACAGGGACCTGAGGATCGAGGGATCCAGTGAAGGACACTGCAGAGAAGAACGAGGCCTCAACAAAAAGGTAAGGAGCAGTGAATTTTCTTGTAAATATTAAAAATGGGAGCCGGCAATAGTTGCATACTTTTTGTACATATGCTTAAAGATTTATTGTGTGTTGGTGGTGCTAGAGTAGGGCACCAGCAATTGTGCAATTTTTTAGAATTTGTTGAAATGGTTTGTCCTTGGTTCCCTGAAGGAGGCACTGTAAACTTAGATACTTGGAGTAGGGTAGGGAAAGAATTACAGGGTTATTATGCTGCACACGGACCTAGCAAGTTACCCGTGGATGCTTTTAGTTTGTGGACTCTCATCAGAGATAGTTTGGATCCCAGACAAAAAAAAA